GAATAATGCTCTCCCAAGAAACATTTTAAGTACCAGTTTCATTTGCTTCTGCTAGCAAAAAAATTTATTAAATTTTCCAAAGTGCAAAAGCACTGTGTTATACATCCTTATTAAGGTTTCTAAGTTCACAGCTACCTTTACAAATGTACACATTAATCCTGGCTTTCTAACTTTTAAGAAGGCTTTTTATTCTTTTATTCTTTTCATTATTTTAACAAAATTTTTAAACCATGTTGACACTTCAAAAAATGAGAAAACTGATTGTAATGAAGCAGAGGACATGCAGATTTTTATTTTAATTACCAATGAGGATTTATAGAAAAAGTGAATAATATTTCCTTTTTAAAAATACAAATATATTAAATTTAAACCAAAAAGCCGTTAAATGTTTCCTGGCAATTTCACAAAATGACTGTTGCCTCCAAATAACTTACAGTAATGGCAATGTTATTTTGACTGATCCATATCTCATTCTAAGACTATAGCAAATTATACTTTGTCTTCTAACTGCTTTTCAGGGTAAGAAAATCCTCATTTTATTGTGATAACCAAGACTCCTGAATGTTCCAGTAGGATCTTCAGTCAATGTGAATTTACATAATTCATCTTCCACTTGCTTTTCTATAATTAGTGCAGCTGTCACCAGGGAGCCACAGTCTTGTGGGCAGGTAGCTATGGGTACAGCAGGCAAGCGTTAGTCAAACATTTCCTTTTAAACCATTCTCTCAGCTTTTCCTCTCATTTCAAATGAGTCAGGCCCTGTGAAGAGGAATTGTTTTCTTTTTTAACGGCTTTCTCTTTTCAAATTTTGATGCTCCTTGCCAACTCACAATTTCTTATCCAGGTTCCGTTTTCCAGATGATAAAAATAAGGCTCCAAAGAATTTCTTCATGGGATCAATGTTTAGGATGTGTATGTGACATGCCTCTTTACAGCTTTCATGTTTGCCCAGCATGGTGATTCACACCTTTAATCCCAGCACTCGGGAGGCAGAAGCAGGCAGACCTCTGTGAGTTCAAGGCCAGCCAGGTCTACAGAGCGAGTTCCAGGACAGCCAGAGCTACACAGAGAAACCCTGACTTGAACAACAATAAACTATAAAAAGTGTCTGTGTTTTAAGTCAGTCAGGTTGCCATTTTATAGTTAGCTGAGGGCCTAGCTCAGTGGGTAGATTGCTTGCCTAGCATATACAAGGCCCTGGGTTCCATCCCTAGCACCACATAAGCAGGATATGATGACACACACCTGTAATCCCAGCATTTAGGAAGCAGAAGTCGGAAGAACAGAAATTCAAGGTAACCTTCAGCTATGACACAAGGATTTAAGGACACTCAACAACAACAAAGTATTTGCTAAAAATACAGCAAAGCCATAAATACAGTAATAAGGGCTGGGGTATAGCTCCGTAGTTGAGCGTTTATCTAGTGTATGTAAGGCCCTGGGTTCCATACCCAGAGGGATCTTCAAAATAGGATAGTAAATATCTAGCTTTCTCTTTTTCTTCTATACCTAGTGCCTAAATTGTCTTAAAACATTTGATCTCACATTTAAAAGAAGAAAAACCAAGGTAGGCTTGATGGTGCAAGGCTTTGATATCAGCTCTCCAGAGATAGAGGCAGGAGGATCTCTGAGTTCAAGGGTAGTCTGGTTTACATAGTGAGGTCCAGGACAGTCAGGATAAACAGTGAGACCCTGCTTCAAAATAAATGAATACAGGAAAGGAAAGGAAAGGAAAGGAAAGGAAAGGAAAGGAAAGGAAAGGAAAGGAAAGGAAAGGGAGAAAAAAAACCAAATATTTTTTCGTACTCTTACACACAGGTACTATGGTACTGAACACAGATCACTCCTCTTTGGGCATCAAGTGTGGTCCTTGCTAGTAAGTGATGGTCAGTTCTGCACACACCCACTGGGTTCCTTACAGTTCATTGCAATCTTGAGAGGATCTGTGTGGGATTAGGGCTCAGTTCCACAGGATTAGGGCTCAGTTTCACAAGTCTGATCCCATTTCAGACACCAATAGCGAACTCCAGGTTGTGGACCAGGCTTCTGATAGACTGGATATAAACTGGCTGTTCCCAATTGTTTGCTAGGATCAGTTTTGTGTTACCATTCAAAACTCAGGCTAACACGTGTGCTTCCTCATTTATCAGAAGGGACATTATAGGTGCACACACAGCTTTGTGTTTCATCCCAGCATAGCGAAAAACCAGGAGAAGTGGGATTTATAGTCTTGACACTCCAGAAGTAGAGTCAGGAGGATACAGAGTTCCAAGTTCTTTTTGGCTACGTACAAGTTTAAAGTCAGCCTGGGATATATGAAACCCTGTTTTAAATCAATAAATATATAGAAAAATAAATAAAAAGAATGGCTATCACAAGAAATACAGATAAATAGCCAGCTGGGAGTGGTGCACGGGGCTAGGCCTCTCTTGGGAGCTGGGGAGTATGGGAAAACAGGAGTGTTGGGCCTAAGGAAGGCTCGGATTCGAGGCCCAGTGTAAGCTCCTGAGCCTAGCTAGAGTTTGGCGACCTGTCTCTGACCTGTAACCTCCATGTGGGGGTGACTCAGCCAGACCTGATGCAAGATTGCCCCCTGCCTAGCTACCTGCCTGCTTGGTGGAATACTATTAGTCCTTAACTCCTCACATCACCTAACCCCATCCTATGTTTCCCATTCCCTACCTCAGCCCTATATAAGTTCCTGCCTGTTGGAATAAATTGAGATCCTGCTTCAACAGACTCCCGACTCAGTGTGTATTTTTTCTCCCCAGTAACTAATGGGGGGAGGGTCTGAGTCATCAACACTCACCATCCTGCAGCTCAGCCCTCAGCCCTGGGAAGAGACTGGCTGGACCAGGCCTCCCCCCACCCCCACGCGCTGGGAGGACCCGGACAGGAGGTCAGGGCTCATTGCTTATGATGTCCTAGATACCCTCGGGTGCTCAGCTCCTCAGAAGCCCTCTGAACCATCAGGTTTTCTTGGAGGCACCATAATCTTCCACAGGATTGGTTTCTTCCTTGGACATTGGTGACCAACTCAAGGCTGAGGACTAGGCTGAAAATCCAGCCCTCTGAACAGGAGTCTGTGCCATGACATATCATAGCAGGGGTAGTTTACAATGAACAAAAACTTGTTCCTCACAGTTCAGTTCCCAAAGTCCAGACTTCCAAGAGGGTTCAGGTAGGGTGTCCTTGTTGCATTATTCTGTCCAGGAAGGGCGAAGAGAGGCAAAGAGGGCTGAATTTGTCCTGTGAAAAGGAACTTGATGTAGTCATTAGATGAACCTTCTCCCTTGATAACGTCAAGAATTCAGTCCCCATTGCACTGAGGACCAGCTTCTGGGTGGACGCTTGGAAACCACAGCATAACTCTTGGTCTTTTCGTCAGCCAGCCCCAAATCTCTGTCATGTCATTGGCATATGTTAAGTTTCAGAACTAGAATGGCTGGCAAAAACCACGTGTAGAAAACTTGGTCACCGGCCTGTGCAGGTACTGGGTGGGGCCTGTAAGAAGTGGGGTCTCATGGAAGGAAGGACTTTGGGGAGTGCCTTTGAGAGAATACTGGGACTCTGCCCCCGGTGTCTCCTTCCCAGGTGACCAGACCTCCTCTTCACAATCACCACTGTGATATTTTTGCCTTGCCACAGACCCAAAGGCAGAGGAGCTCTCCGTGTGGGGCGTAAGACCTGTTATTTAAACCCAATAAGTCTCTCCTCCTTTAAATTGATTATCTGAGGTATTTCATCATCAAGAGGGCCTGGGAAGGCGGCTCAGGGATTAAATGCTTGCCAAGCAACTGCGAGTTTGGATCCCCAGATGCCACAAAAATTCCAGGTGGGCATAAAGGCCTGTCTCTAAAACCAGCTTCAGAAGGCGGAGATGGGAGATCACCAGAGTAAGGTGGCTAGCGAGACTAGTCACAGCTGGAAGCTCTGGGTGTGGCGGAGAGACCCTGCCTCAACGACTAAGGTAGAAGAATAATGAAAACTGGCTACAGACACCAACCTCAGGCTGCCCTTTGCATGCATACCCGTCACGCTTCACTTACGTTCCCACACGCACACACACGCGGACACACACACGCACATGCACACACACACTAGGGCTCATGGACGGAGCTCAGTGGTAGAGTTTGCCCAGCATTTACAGGCCCCGTGCTCAATCCTCAGCATGCTAAAAACTAGATTTAAGAAAATTAAAGGCAAATCAAATGCCAGGTAGAAAGGCAGACAGATGAAGGCAAGCGAAGCAGGAGATACTGTCTAGGGGAGTGTCTGAAGAGGCACATCCTGGGCATGGACAGAAGGACGAGGGCTCCGACTCTGAGCCCTGCAGTCAGAAGTCAGGCCTGTGAGCCAAGAGTCGAGAAGGCAGGTGGTGGCTGAATCCCAGGCCTGGAAATGGTCAGTGAGGTAGGGCCATGCTCAACAGGCTGGGCAAAGGAAGGAGCTGAAGAAAGAAGTCAGAGGTGGACCTGCAGGGACCCGAAGTGTGGTGCTGGCGGCCCTCTGGGTTGTGACACCACTGCCCGTCCCTGGCCAGTGCAGGCTTCTCCTGACTCCACTTAGTTGGGAGAGTCTGCTCGGGTGTGCTGCAGCTGCAGGACCTACACCAAATCTGTGTGCCTCTCCCTCCAGGGCACATACCTAGCTGACATTCCTTGGCCTCTCTTGCTTAGCAGAAGCCAAAACCTAGGTGAAGCCAGTTAGTCCCAGGCCGGGACTGTAAAGCCTTCTTTGGGTGTGGGATCCAGCCTTTCCACTTCCTGGAAAGCACAAGCCGAGAGCCACCGTCCTAGACTATAAGGATAGGAAGAAGCAGGCCTCCATCCCTTACAGGTCTGTGTGTCAGCCTGAGAGCACTCTCACTCACCCTAGGTCACTCCCAGAGTGCCTACAGGTTTTCCAGGGCTACAAGAGGGTTGTCATAGAGAGAAATGTCGCAAGGCACTATCTTATGTGTCTTACCTATTCTGCCCTTCATGGGCACACAGAGACTGTTTCCATGGTAACACTGTTTGTCTTTATTTATTAAATTTTAATTATTGTATGGGGTGGTGCATAAGTACCACGATACAAATATGCAGACCAGAGAAGAACAGGAGGGAGTTCGTTCTCTTCGTCTACCCTGTAGATCCGGGATCTACTCGAAGCAGGAGTGGCAGGAAACTTTTATTCATTTGTCTGGCTGACCTGTTGTTTGCCATTTGTTTGGAACCTTTGGAAGATTACTTGCCGTGTAGACGGGGCTGGAGATGGCAGTGGGCTCCATACTCCTGGCTCTGTGGCACAGTTCAGTGCTTGGTCCTGTACCTGTGTGCATTTCTGCTCCATATAAGGAAACAAAGAAAACAGGGAAGTGGGAAGGGACATCAGAAGTGACTTGTGTCAAGTAACAGTTACCACAGGGGGCATTTTGCAGTATCTCTCCATGCTTAAAAGGAGGCAACTGGCCCTTTAAAGTCCCGAAGCCCAAGAACCATGCAAGGGTGGAGAACTTAAATTGTAAATACAGCCATGGGGTGAGCTAGCATGGGATGTTAGTTCCAACGATGCAAGGTGGGTTTTAAAGGAATTCAGGGGTGACAAAATTAAAAGAAAATCCACAAATAGAATTAAGGTAATTCCATTCCTCCCCCTGCTGCTCAACCTGACAGTTTACCCCACCTGTCATGTGTCAGCGGAGGTGTGGGCTGTGGGATATTGGACATGTTTTGTAATGCCAGAACTCTAGGAGACTGAGGCAGGGCGATCTCAAGCCCAGAGCCCCTGAAAAGAAAGAAGGGGTGGATAGAGAAAGAACAACACAGGCAAACAATGATCAGGGAGGCAGGGGGTGTGGGTGGGTAGGGGTGGGTAGATGGGGGTGGGTAGGGGTGGGGTTCTGGGTTGGATGGTCTAGGCTATATTAGACGGCACCCGTGTGAGAACCCATGCGGCCTGGAATGAAACCCTATTGTCCACTTTGCTCATAGAAACAAGGATGCTGAACCAAGGTGCAAGCCACCATTTCCAACCCCACGACCAGCCTTGGAGTAGGTGAGTACTTTTCTGGGCTCTGTGAACACTGGCCTGGAAGAACTGCACCCCTCCCTACCATCCTCCTGTAGCAAGGTGTTCAGTGTGTGGATGGTAGAGACAAAGGCACCGCGTTTGAGAATACCTGTTGGAGGAGGAGACGAATTTCTTCTGGGTCAACATCTCTTCTCTGAGCAGAAATGAAGTATGTAGGCCAAGGTCAAAGAGCGGGAGGTCTTGTGTGCCTCCAGATGTCATCTCAAGACGTCACTGAAGGGTGGAGACAGAGAGATGGCTCACTGTCTAACAGCACTGGCCGCTCTTCTAGAGGAACTGGGTTCAATCCTAGCACCCATATGGCAGCTCACCCTTGTCTGTAACTCCAGTTCCAGAGATCTGGCACTGTCTCCTGCCCTCCACAAGGCTCTGCACACACAAAGACTCCCAGGCAATGCCCATGCACAAAAGAAAGTGAGAATTAAAAAAATAAAGATGCATTTTTCAGAAGAAGGCCCAAGGATGGGAGTATCTGAAAGGAGGAGAACTTATATGCAAATCCCTGAGCCAGCATCCCCAGATGTTCTACCTGCATCAGGTCCCAGTCCAAGTCCCTGAGCCAGCATTCCCCAGATGTTCTACCTGCATCAGGTCCCAGCATTTCTGAGAACCGTATCTAGTGCTGATGTAAGAAACATCTGCCATTGAGAATTTTCAAGTGCATTGATCTGGTTGATGCAGCAACAGCAATCTGCATTCTGAAATAGCTCTGTTCCAAGACTCATAGTATAAGCAAAACAAAAACTAATGGCTCTTAAGGTCACAGCACAAGGCAAAAGAAAACACTAACAAGGAATGAAAATCAGGCTACAGTTTTTCAGACATCCCCTTTGCCTTGATGTCCACAAGTTCACCTGGGACACCAGGGCCTTGACTGAGGTATACATTTCCCTCAGTACTGGGGAATGCCACAGAAACCCACAGTGACTCACTTTCCTGGCAGAGGCAGGTCTAGCCGAGGTCAGCATTTCATGTGTGGGTGAAGGCCTTTCCTCTGTGTGGTTTTTTTCCCCAAGCATTATCAAAGTATCCAAGCCATCTGGGTGGTCTGCAGAAACTGCTGCTTCCTCAGCCTCAGCCCAGCTGGAGCAGTGGAAAGTTCCCTGCCTCCCTCTGTTCATGGTGGAAGCTTGAGACAGTGGGATCTCTTTCCAAGCCCAGGAAAGACATTTGTCCTCCACTCGTCTGTTTATTCATGGATAGGTATTTCTGGTCTGTCTCTGTGCCAAGCATCATTCTAGGTTCTGGGACTGCAGGAGAAAAGAAGATCGATGGGGCCCGTGAGGTAAAGGTGCTTGAAGCCAAGCCGGGTGACCTGAGTTTGATCTCCGGAATCCCACGGGAGAAAGGGAAAAGCCAGCTCTCACAATTGTCCTCTAACCACCCACCCACACACACCCACACACACACACACACCCCTAAATAAGTAAGATGGAATAAGAACACTAGTAAAGAAGATGGCATAGCCGCTATTCTGTGGTGAAGGTGACAGTTAAGACAATACATAATTAGAGACATTATGAAGAAAAGATGTGTTGACCATACAACGATAGAAACTAGTAGAGGGCTGGAGAAATGGCTCAGAGGTTAAGAGCTCTGGCTGCTCTTCCAGAGGTCCTGAGTTCAATTCCCAGCAACCACACGGTGGCTCACAACCATCTGTCAAGAAAAATGGAGAGAACTCTAAGGAATATGGGCAGGTAGGTTTCTCTGGGGATGCGACTCTCCTGAAGGCTAGAAGTTATGCTCCTAAGGAAGGGTAAAGAGGGAACGGTGGCAAGCACGGTGATGGTGTTAAGGTACTTCGGGGTAAATGACTGGCTAGAGGGGATACAGTTTGGTGTTTGGATGGTTTGTGTCCATCCTGATTAGGCCTGAAGTTGTCAGGGGTGGTAGGCCTTGGGAAAGAGCAGTGTGAGTTAGGTACCAAATCTTCGTCAAAAGATATGAAACAGGCAAGAGGCCTTTAGGAAGGGACAGAACCACGTGGTAGGAGACTTAAGGATGCTTCCGCACACAGGTGGGGTTACAAACAGTGTGCTGGGGGAGCATGTGAACCCTAGGAAACATCCTGAAGATAAACAGCCTCTCCCAGAAGGCAGTAGCAAGAAAAGGACACCCTCAGAACACACTCAGAGACCAGGAAAGGGCAATGGCTAAGTTGGGGAAGTAGCCCCCATGTGCCCCAAAGAGGGGCCTATTGGCTATAGGAGAAAGGCTAGGAGAGTAGAAAGGAGGGGGGAAGGGGGAGGAGAGGAGGGGGAGTTAAGCTTCAGAAGGCATGGGCAGGAAAGAGAGGCCTCAGGCAGGCTGGGCCACTGGGGGTACATCTCAGATGGACAGATGGACAACCCAGATAATCTGCAGGTGGGCATGACTTCTCTAAGCTATGTAATAGAACCCAGCACTCACCCCCACTGGGCACCCCGGTTTCTCTAGCCAAGGGAGTCAGGTCAGCTGAGGCAGCCAGCAAGGACTGTTTCCTTGGATGTGCTCATGCCTGGTGTGGGACATGAAAACCTGGGGCTGTCCAAGACGTCCTTTGTGGGAATAGACACAGGAGGCTCACACTACTTCCAGATCCAGTGTGGGACAAGACTTGCAGGACTGAGGCGATTTAGCTCTGGAGGAAGGACTGCTGTCTGAACAGACCCACAGGGATGGGCATCAAGGAGTAAAAAGGATAAGACTGTGGTCCAGTTGTCCAGGTGTGTGTGGCGCTCTTGAAGAGAAAGATGTAAGCTTGGAGAAAATTTGAGGCGCCCTTTTCAGAGTTAATGGATGTAACTGGAGTCATATTGATGTGAGTCAGTTACAACTTTGTGCTTCTCCATGTGTACAAGGAGGACAACAGTACATATTAACGCTTGAGATACTAGGCCTAGTACTCACTCCAAGGCTCAATATTCTGGGGCCAATGATACTTGTCAGGGTCTTTGAGACTAAATGAGAAGAGTGCAGAATGTTTGAGAAGCCTTTGGCACTGCAAATGCACCTGGGCTAGCCTGCTCCCGGAAGGCAAGCAGTGTCTGGCCTGGTTAGAACTTGGATGGGAGGAAGGATTACATGGAATGGAATGGAATGCAAGCTGCAGTGTCTGTAATGATGCGGGCAAAACAATTCTACTGGAATCAGACTTCCTGGTGGGGTATAGAAAATTCCTTCTGAAGGCATTTCAAATGGCATCTTGATCTGAAATATTCATTTTTAATATATCTCGGTATCCTGGTCATTATTGTGGCTCACAATATTCGTAGCTTCCCCTGCCCCAGTAGGCTGCAAAACACCTTCCAGTACCTGGAGAGCTAGCCAGCAGAAAGGGAACTTCCCGGTCAGTCCCAACTTGATTTCCTCATGTCCTGTGACCAAAGCGTGAGGTGTCTTCAGCAATGGGATCTTGCCTTTACCGTCGAGTTTGGTGGACAGCCAATACCAGGGGCAGTAGTGTGTATTGTTTGGGGGTCTCCAGGACACCTTTAACTAATTCAAGGAGGAGTATAGCCACACCTTTTCATTTGGCAACCATGACTTCTGGGAGGAGCAGAAGGGTAGGGCTTGTATGAACTCTTTTGTATGAACAGGTCCTTAGTGTTAGTTCTGGCCCCGCCAATCTTCTGCCTACCTGTCATCATTCTTATATGAACCCTAGTGTCCAATCTTCAGATCTGTCTTTAAACTTTGAGTAGTTGTAGAATGCAGAATACTAGAAAGGAACCACTGAGGGAGAGGGACAGGAAAGATCACGGAGGGGTAATAAAACACAGGTGACTTGAAGGAAACAGAGGACAATGGGGAAGGAGGTTTAGCCGTATTAAAATTCTCCTTATTACACTGAATTACATCAGGCCATTTTCTCTGTGCCTGGCTCACCCTGGCTTTGAACAGTTCTATAGATTGTTTACAGATGTTTAACACGTGCCAGGCCTGGGTCAGCTGTAATCATCTGTAGTAACATTTCTATTTGGGTGGTCCTAACGTATGTCCTTTGGGAAAGTCGGGTATCTGCAGCAGCTCTGAAAGTCAAATACAAGTCAAACAACAGCAGGCCTGGCTGATAAAATACAAGTGCTGGCCTTGCTTTTGTTTTTGAAACAGGGTTTGGAGGTGTAGCTTTGTCGGCCAGGCTGGCTCTGGACTCATAGAGATCCGCCTGCCTCTGCCTCCCGAGTGCCTGGGTCAATCAAAGGCGTGCGCCACCACCGCCACCCTCTATTTTAAAAGAGAAAACCTTCAATACTTCTGAGAATCCTCGCAAGTGGAAGCAGCTCGTATTCCCACTCATTCTTTTCACAAAGTGCAGCTCATAAAGTGGTGTCAACAACACAACAAACCTGAACATTTGTTATGGAAACCCTGTGCAGGAGAAGGTGGGAAGCTGTTTAAAGCACTCTATGGTACATTTTACAATCAGTTATTTTGGGCAATGAGGTAAATAACCACTTTGAATTGAGGAGTGACAGGATTGTCAACAGGGTTAGGAAGAAAATACCATTTCTTGGCAGCTGGATTAAACTGTTTACTTCCACACTTACAAACTATTGGGGGTGGGGTGTCGCGGCATGGCAGCCCGAGGTCCATCCCCGAAACATACAGTGCAAGCGGAGAACCATCTCCCGGAAGTTGTCCTCTGGCCGCATACACACTGTGACGTGCTCACACTCACACATGCGCAGGTACAATAATGTACAATAATGGCAACGCTTCTGAAATCATGTGTGGTTTTTTGAAGGCTTTTTGTTTTGTTTTGCTGTGTATGAGTGTTTTGCTTGCATACACATACATTCACTCTCTGAGTGCCTGGATAGAAGTGAGAAGAAGGAATCGGACCTCTTGGAATTGTAAATGGTTGTGAGCCACCATGTGGGTGCTGGAAACTGAACCCAGATCCTTGACTGTGAGAGCAGCCAGTGCTCTTAATACTGTGTCCTCTCTCCAGCTCAAAATGTATTGTGTTTTGTCTGGTTGGGTTTTTTCCTGCTAGGCCCAGGGATTAAAACTAGGGTTTCATGCAATCTATAGCCCCAGCTAAAATCATGTTTATAAGAGACAATCTGAGTGTCTGAATTCATGGGTTAAATCTGTAAAGGACACCACTTTAATGTCATGCAACATTTGATACAGAAACTTCACAGTACAGTTCCTTGGATTGTTTTAAACTGAATTACTGTGTATAACAATAATCAAAGTCAGCTCTAGTTTTATATTCATTTCTTTGTTTGAGACAGGATCTCATGTAACCCAGGCTGGGATTAGAGGTGAGTCGCCATGGCTGCCTCAGACCTCCCTGGTTTTATTGTCAGCTAGAAGTATTCTTCATAGGAGAAACATGGCATAGTTAAACCCTGATATATATTTCCTCATTGCCTGACACAGAAGAGGTTCTAGTTCACAGTCAATTATGATAATATAGAATTACAATATCTAGATTAAAGAGGGCAAAGAATCCTATTAAAGCCAAACTCCCAAATAACGCAGATTTCACTCTGATGAGCAATTTGACTAGCATGTTGACTTTCAGTAAGATCGAGACACAGATAAACACTAATAAATCCTGAACTTCTTGGCCACTGGCCTGCAGGGTTATGAAACTTTTCGCAGGGTAAACTCTGACCATCATCAGGCAAAAGACTGACCCCTAGTGGTGGTGAAGCTATATAGCATCACCGTTCTGCCAACCAGGCCCAGTGCTGTCCGCCCCCATTTTCTATCTCCCACAGGCCCCAAACCATACTGCTAGGGAAAGAGCATTTTAATCCGGGAAATATCTCCTACATAAACACATGTGTATGCTTTAAAAAAAAGGCTTTAAGCCAACTTTTTTTTTTTTTTGCAACACAGTTGTTCATAATATCAAACAAACAAAAAACCCTTAAGATCGCACTTTTCATATCCCGTAGAACGAGTATGGTGCCTCCAATCAGACTTGCAGGACCGCGGTGGAGTGCCAGGTCGGAGGGAACTGCCAGATAAGGATTTCCACACCCCTCCTCCCCCACACACCAGAACCCCAGGAAGCCTGAGGCTGCAGAGAAAAACAAGTCACTCAGCACCGCGAGGAACCAGCTAGAGCCTTGGGATCCGAGAGACCTCACCTTCCAACTCGGCGGCGGCGGCGCCAGCAATTCTCTCCGTAAATTTATGCTGCTCTCCACCTTGGCTGGGAGCCTTCTTCTTTGCAGGGGCAGCAGTTAATGGGAACTCAAAATCCAGTGTGCTAAGAGTAAACCACAGGTGTGCTCAGCCACAAAAACTTGACATCGGTATCAATACCCAAGTCTACCTACCCCAAGGATCAGTAAACGCCTTAGGAGTTACTAACTCACAGCTGTGGTCACCTGCCTGTAAGACTTGTATAAGATCAGGCCAGTCAAAATTCCAAAACCGATGCGCGGGCATGGGGGTGGGTGAGCCCCCACCCCTAGCTGAGGAGCTAGTGGGGCGGCTGGTGGTTGCTGAGGGAAGCGGGGAGGTCGTTTTTCTTTAGGAGTGTGGCTACTGGTAGGGTGCTGGGTTCTCCTGTGGATCGCTCTACAGCCATAAGCAGATGGAAAGCACTAAGATGCGGTAGGAAGGAGGAGGGTTAGTAGGAAGGGTGCCTGCTGCGGGGAGGGGCAATGGAGAGTGCGGGGCGGATGATCGAAATATTGTACATGGGCATGGAATTCTCTAATAATACTTTTAAATCTCCCAACCGATGCATAAGTTATATTTCAAGCTTAAAATAAGTTTAGAAAAACATCAAGGCTGACATATTGACTCGGATTTCAGTGCTGAGTGTTTCTCAGCACTTGCCTAGTATGAAGCTGTGAGTCAAGCCGTAACAATATAAACAAAAATCAAAACTATTCACAAATATGTATCCTTGTGTACATCGAAACATCTGCTTTAAGTAAAACTCCAGTGACATGAAAACATTTTGCTTAAGGTTTCTTCAGGCTAGGCTACAGCTCAGAGTTAAGAGTGCTTGCGTAGCATGATCGAGACAACACACACACACACACACACACACACACACACACACACACACACACACACAGAGCCACACCCCCCCCCACAGCTCAGAGTTAAGAGTGTGTTTGATCACACAAACAACACCATGCACGCACCCCTACCTATGAGTTCATTAAAATGTAAAGTTGGGGATATTAGGTTAGGGAGCTGGGAAGATAGCCATAAAGTGTTTGCCTCACAAACGTTGAGTACCTGAGTCTGATGCCCTGAGCCAGATCCCCTGAATGTGGTATCAGTGAGGAGGCCTAGGCAATCTATGGAGCCTTGGGTAGTGTTTATCCCTGGCACACAAATGGACTTTGGGTGCCCATCCCACAATGAGGGATGCTCTCTCAGCCTGGACTCTGAAATGACAGACTCTGGTGATCCTCCATGGAGAGTCTCACATTCCCTAGGGGTCTGAGTGGGGATTAGGAGGGGCACTGGGGGGAGCCTGGTGGGAAGGGGCGGGGGAAGTGGGGAGGGAGAGGGTGCTGGGATTGACATGTGAAGCAAGCTTGTTTCTAATTTAAATAAAAAATAAAAACAAAAAACAAAACAAAAAATTCAAAGGGTTGGGAAAACCACATGGATATAGTGAAGAAAATGTAATTTTGTTGCAAAAGCTATATGAAACTCAAGATAATAAAGAGTTCATTTATAATTTTAAAAAATGCAAAAGAGGGGGCTGGAGCAATGACTCAGTGGTTAAGAGCAGTAGCTGCTCTTCTAGATGACCTGGGTTCAATTCCCAGCACCCACATGGCTGTTTGTAACTCCTCTTCCAGGAGATCCAACAGCCTCACACCAATGTACAAAAAAATAAAGTTAAATGAAAGATTTAAAAAAAAATGCAACTGGTGGTATGTGTTTGTAATCTCAACACAGGGAGATGGACACAGGAGGATCCATGGGGCTCACTGGTCAACTAGACTAGGCCAGTGAGAAACTTTAGCTTAAAAACAACAAATACCAGCACTCGGGAGGCAGAGGCAGGTGGATATCTATGAGTTCGAGGCCAGCCTGGTCTACAGAGCGAGTTCCACAACAGCCTCCAAAACAATACAGAGAAACCCTGTCTCGAAAAACAAAACAAAAAACACCAAAAACCCCCAAACAAACAAAGCCCCCCAAAACAACAAACAACCAGATCTGAGGATCACTTGAGGCTGCCTATGTTGACACCTTTGTACCCATAAGCACACTCCAAATTTCAAAGTTAAATTTCTGTAATATACATTTTATTCCTAGACAATAAAGTCACAAAACTACTCATGAGCAGAAAATTCCTATAAGATTTTCAAATTTTTATTTATCAGAGGGGACAATGATGCCCAGTATTTGTATGGAGGCCAAAGGACAACTTTCAGGAAGATTCCTACTTCCACCACTTGGATCCCAGGGATCCAATTTCGGTCATCAGGCTTGTTGACAAGGGCCCGAACTACTGAACCATCTGACCCCAGTGTTTTTTCAAAACCAGGTCTTCTATCTATCACAGGTTGATTCAGAACTCTCACAGTCAAGAAGGATCCTCTTGCCTCCAACTTCTAAATGCTGGGATTACAGGTGTTAGCCACCATGCCCAGCTTGTGTTAAATTTTAAATCTAGCCATGTGGTTCTAATTCTAGAAACCCGGCACTTTCCTTTTTTATTTTAAACTATATTATAGAAAACACTGCAAATAAAAATACATTACATGCTGAGATTAACCAGACCCAGACCCGTAACTCCAATGAACTTCTATATTTAGAACAGCCATCTGGAACACGAATAGTGGTGCTTTAAGTTGGATTTTGTTCACTATCGAGTATATTTTTATGCACTTACCCACCACCAAAAACGACAAATCCATGACAGGAGTAAGAACTAGAAAAGCAAAATTTATATCCACGCAGAACTAGTTTTCACTACCTGCAGTCCTTCATCCCCTTATGCTTAGTCTCTCTTGTTCTCTTCATACAAGCCATACTCTACCCAAACATGCACTTGCTTGCAAAAATACATGTTGTATTGGCTAGATCCCACCTCTGAATGAGATGTTTTTTTTTTCCTGAGGTTGTAACTGCACTAAATTATACAGTCTATGCATTCTCCTACAAATGTTGTGACTGCATTTTTTTTTTTAGAGCAGAACAGAATTCACCACTACTCCCAAATTTTCATTATTCATTCATCTGTTGATGGACAAACAGGTTGACTTCAATTCCTTGGTACAGTGAATAAGGGAGCAATGAACACGGGGATGCAAGTATCTGTAGGATAGGGTCTGGTGTTCTCTGGATATGTATCCAGGAGTGAAATAGCGGGGTCGTATGGTAATTCTATTTTTAATTACTTGAGGAATCTCAACACTGGTTTCCACAGTGGCTACTTCTCACCCCACCCACAGTGAATAAGGGTTCCTTCCTCTCAACCTCCTCTCCAACATTGGTTGTCACTGATAACAGCCATTCTGACTTGGGTCAGGTGGTATCTCAAAGTAATTTAATTTGCATTTCTCTGACAGGGATGTTGAACACTTCTTAAAACAGTTACTGGCTATTTGTTTCTTCCTTCAAAGACTATTCAGTCAGTTCTTTTGCCCATTTGTTGATTGGCCCAAAAACATGGAGTCCAAGTATTCCAAATATGTTGCTAAATAGAACTCTCCTCTCTTGTGTTTTTGTTTGTTTGTTTTCTGAGACAGGGTTTCTCTGTGTAACCTTGCCTGTCCTGGACTCACTTTGTAGACCAGGCTGGCCTCAAACTCAGAGATCTGCCTGCCTCTGGCTCCCACTGGGATTAAAGGCAGCACTACCACCGCCTGGCTTTCATAAGCTCCTTTTTTACATAGAAGTTTCTACTGACTATCTACTGTGAGTGTAAATGAGCTAACAAATTCTCCAGTTTAGTGGATGCATCTGACACTTTTTAAGTTTCCTATACCCTAGAAAACACCATACCCATTATCTCTTAGATATATAAATTCAGTTTCTCCAATACTAGAAATAGCAACTGGAATAAATAAGCTAGTGTCAGCAGAGCCTGAATTGCCATGTGAAGGTGTCACTGTCACATTTCACATCCCCAAATCTCTCCATTATGAGTGAAAGGAAAAAGATTCAATCAGAAGCACCTGGCAGCTTGCCCTCCCTCCCATCCCATAGATGAAAGCCAACTGCCATTTCTTAGCACAGAATGCAAAACCAATGACTGTGGGGCAGAGCACCCATGACCCGAGTTTCTTCTTTCTGTGAATATCCAAAACACAGGAAAGCTCTGTGGAGCCTCGTCTAAGTCTAAAAAGTGTCTACCACAGAGCAGTAAGACATAAAGCCAAACCTCAGGAGCTTCATTGCGTTGTATGACAGCAACTATGGCTCCTTGGTCTTGCTCACTGGACTAGAGGTGAACACTGCCAGTCTGCTTCCTATCTGCGTCAAGGGCAGAGGTTCAGCTTTATTAGCCTTACTTAGCAAAGTGCTGCAGTAGATCTGTGGCTCCGCCTACTGGGACTCCATGGTCTCACATCTCTGATTCCATTCTTTCTAGAGCAAGTCTAGGAAAGATCCCAGCTCCCCAACATGCCACACTGCTCGGTGTCCAGAAACAAGCTGACAAAGTCTCAAGGGCTAAGAACCTGGTTTACCTTTCAGGGGAAAGCTAGCTGTCCCGGTGACTCAACGTCTCATGCAAAATTCCCCTAAAACTCCAAGGTGCTAGTTGGACTGCCTGGAAATCTCACTAGGACTGACTGAGTGTTAGTGACGCTGACTGACAATGTGATGCAGGGAACAGCCTGGTGCCGCCTCACTAGGACTGCCTCAAACTCTATTCTAAATGAGGGCTGTAATCAGGATGGACACAATCAAAGGGGTTTCCATAGTTTTTCGCTTTCTGCCGATAAAGGCACTGAAGATGTAATTCCCATGGGAGAACAGAGAGTTATGGTAAGGACTGTACTCATACATAGGACAACAGCTGTTACCCAGAGAGAGGAAGTTCCAGCCTATTGGAACACAATAGGTCAGCATGAACATGAAGCCTAATACAGGAACGGCCTGCTCTGAAAGTCTGCATAAGCTTCAGTTCTGTGTTTAGTTGACTTCTTGTTTCTCACATGAAAAGACCTACTGAGGAACAGGGTTAAAATGTACTAGGATCTTCTAATCATCACCGCCAGAATGTTGTCTGAATTATAGAAATTCTGGAACAAATGCTGACAGTCTAGTTCTGGAACTTTTTTTTTTTTAATGTGGCACTTGTTAAAAATGGTCTACTCCTCATAGGTATTAAACATTTTATTTAAAGATTTTAATGTAAAAAATTATACAAATACAGATTACATTATGGTGAACAAGGAAGTATTCTACATGACAAAAATCAAAACAAATTTCTAAACTAAATGTACCGGCACTGAGGACACATGGAACTAGACATCCAGCCCAGCTGCATGTGATAAAACAATTTGACCACAGCTTATGCAAAATAAATGATTTCCAAGACACCAAATGTCAGTCACTCCACCCATCCACACTATTATTCCCCTGAAAAGTTGTTTGTTTTCTTTTTCTTTTTGGCTTTTCAAGACAGGGTTTCTCTGTGTGACACCTCTGGCTGTCCCAGAACTCCCTCTGTAGACCAGGCTGTCCTCAAACTCACAGAGATCCATCTGCCTCTGCCACCTGAGTGCTGGGATTAAAGGAGTGCACCACCACTGCCCAGCCCCAGATGAGTATTTTGAGAGAATTTTTACATAACATACAAAGAATTGGCATGGCACTTAAGGACTGAAAACTAGAACTCAATTAAAAACGTTTACAATAATTCTGAATAAAAGACACACAGTAAATCTTGTTTAAAAAGATTTAAAAACAAAGACCACCATTAATAATGGCTAAAACCTCCTCATAGAAAACTGCTCATCCTTTGAACAGTATTGGCAGAAAACAGGTTTTATTGGGGGTGCAGGTATCGAAGATATGTTATTTGAATTCATTCATTTAAATTTGTTGGCAAATGTGCATGATAATTCACTAAGAACCCCTTCTTAAACTGTTTCATTACAAAAAGCAGACTCACCCTCCAATAAGAAATATGGTCTCACACACAAAAAGAATAACTTAAAGAAATGTTTCTCAAAATGAAATACAAAGTTCCCAAAGAGCCCTAAGGTAGCCCAATGACGTGCATTTTTTTTTTTTAACAAACTCAGTGATGATTCTATATTCCAAAATGCCCCGAGGTAAACAGCACCACTTAAAAGGTCATAAACATCCTGACACTTCAGAATTCTCTACAAGTGTATGATGCGAACGCTGCCTTTTGATTTTAAAAAAAGTTCTAATTATTTGAGGAAACATATTCCTCAAACATGAAAACGTATATAAACAATTGCTTTCTGATGCTCATTTACTGCATTTGTTTGGCTGCACCACTGCGCATTTATTTATTGCAGGGGAGGGTGCGCATGTGCCATGGTGTCCTATTGTGGGAGCTGGTTCTTCCCTTCCTCCATGTGGGTCTCAGCATCAAGCCCAGGGCACCAGGCTTGGCAGCAAGGGCCTTTACCTGCTGAGCCATCTGACTGGTCCCTTATTTGGCTTTAATCAATGGAGGTTTTTATTGCTCCCAGCCTAAAGTTATTTGAAGAAAAGAAAATATATGACACAAACTTGGGAAAACTTACACTTCTAATGAAATGTAGCATCCCCCAAAAGACAATTTTTAAATGTCTACATGTTTTAAATCATTATAAGCTCAACACTAGATAGCATCCCTAAAATTACATTTTACTGATTTGACAACTATAGTTTATTTAGATGTTTATTTAAAGTTCTTTATATAAAAATATTTAAAATAAACAGCAAAATGATGCTAAAACGGTACTTCTTTAAATAAAATGTTGCTAAATACTAATACTAATAAGAATATTGCGGAAACTGAAGAACTCTGCCCTGAAATGCATCCTCTTATGTATTTCATTTGTTACCTAAGACGTGAACACTCAGTAGGAGCTAGAACTGAGATGTGAACACATGTGTTATATAGTTACTCAAGTGCGTTTGCTATTCTTGAATTTCACTGAAGACTGCATTAAACAGGTCTCAAAAATACAAAAAATGCACTTTGGGGGAAGGAATCAAAAGTAGTTATTCTACTTAGAAGATAAATTATTTTTCCATATACTAAATAATAAAATATATATATGTACATTCTGCTTCCCCTCCATGAATGGAATGCTTTAAGTTCAGTAAGGAGTGAGTGCCTCCTCACTATTTAAACCAAATCTCAAGAATCAACTGTAGGGTTCATTCCCAGTAAGAAATAGAACATGACCATTGTTCTTTCTGCCGCTACTTTAAACTTCTACTTTTCCCTTTATATGAACTGAGAAACTGTCCATTCATGTGGGTCTTTGAACTACATGTATTAGCATGCTGGTTTTCACTGAAAAGGTAAGCTCAGATGCTAACCCCTTATTCTAAAAAAATAAAAAAAAATAAAATAAAAACAAATCATTGTGCCAGTTTTTCAAACACAGCTACTTATTTAGACTCCAATTCTTAATAAAAGGAGTCAACTATATCAATTTGATAACTGAAAATTTATAGGATACTTGAACTCTGAAACTAGTAATACAAGATATATTGTGAATTACCTTCCACTACATGATTAAGCCTTCAACTGACTTAACACAAAATGACAACAACTGTGGGAGACAGATGATGTAATCCCACTGCGTGTCACAAGGCAACAGAGGCTCAGTCTGAGAAGCTGTGGCATTTCCTTTAAACAAAAGACACCTTCCTTACTTGTTACTAGGCCTCTGGAGAGCAGGCATAACTGAAGTTTGACATGATTGTCAGGAAGCTAGTTTTAATTTCTTTATCTTAGCTCTACTTAGCTATATGACTCCTATCATCTATAACAGGATGCCGACGGTTTCTGTAGGTGACGACATCAAATGTTAACTTGACCAGGCTGACAGGTTATTCATGCACTAAATGGCAGTAAGCAAAGCACAGCTGAAAGTGAGGATCAGACACATTCTTCTGCAGACATCAAAAGAGGGTTGATATACTCAAAACCTTCAAATTCAGACTGGTCAATCTTCCTCACGATGTCACTGTAGAAAGAAAAATCAATTTGTTTTCATTATAATCAAGATTCTTTCAGCCTTTAAACAGTGAAATACACCTAAAAAGAAAAAACAGAGCTAAATGATATAATTGTGGAGGGAAAACAAGTTCTTAGATTAATCACAAAGTGAGTTCTAGAATAACTGGGGGGAGGGGATGGGGACACAGGATGGGACCGCATCAGGAAAACTAATAACTCCACAAACTCCACAAGCAACCTGAGGGCTCAGAATCACACTGAGGATTTTTAAAAACACAGAAATTACACAATTCCAGTTATTTTAACTTTACCCTGAACAGCATTCTTGATTAAGTAAACAGCCAGATCCGAATTAACATCAGGCCAGCAATCACATTAACAACCAGGCAGATGGCGAAGAGAAAGAGGGAGGAAGTTATCCCAAGGAAAGAAAGGACAACAGAGACTAGTACACCAAGAGACTTGGAGCAAGGGGGGGGGGGGGCTGGCGCTGTGTCACTCTGGACACCTAGCTTAATACACGGCAAGCGGAAAGCTATCAAACATTCCAGTTCCTAAAGTGACGTGGCATACTGCCAAGCACAAAGCAGAGCTCCATCCTTGAAGGAGCAGCGCACTTGGGAAGCCCGAAGAGAAAGCAGTATCTGCTAAATTTCCCGTGTGTGTTTGTGTGTGCATGCTCCCATGTACATGTGGCCGACAGCAGGTCACCCACCCTACTTTGTGAGCAGAGCCTCTCACTGGACCTGGAGCTCAGTGACTGGGGGATGGGTCACGAGCTCTGGTTCCCCAGCCTCTCTGCATCCTGAGTACTAGGATTATAGACATGTGCCATCACACCTGCTCTTTATACGGGTGCTGGAGATTTGAGCTCAGGCCCACCTGCTTGCATGGCAAGCACTTTACCAACTGAGCCATCTTCCAAACCCCACTGTCTGCAGTATAAGCGAAGCCCTGTTCTAACCACACCTAGAAACAGAGGGCGACATCAAGCTGGAGAAATCGAGGCAGTAAGTGTTCATTATACAAGCACGTGAATTGGAAAGACTGGTAGGTCTGGAGAAATGAAGAAACCATCAGGGCTGGACTAGGGATAGAAGGGTGCTAAGTGGGAGGTGCTATTGGAAGGACGGTGGTGCTACATTTAAGATGGTAATGATGTTTAATTACACAAAGGGATTTCATCTCCACTAATCAAAGATCTAGTGGCATTTCAGGTGTTTTTGAAAAAAGTGAGATTTCAATGGTAAAATGGTAGAGGAAATTAAGAGACATAAGCCAGGAGAGATAGAGCAGGACACCCACTATCAGGGAATAGTAAATGACAGACTGCTCAGAACACCTTTTGTGTTTTAGTGATATGGCTAAAGTAACACAGGAACAAGATGGGGTGAGGGTGTGGACAGCTGTTACCTGGGAGGTTTCTGATTGGGGCTGAAGAACTGCAACAGTCCTTCATGAAGTGCACGCAATAGGATGCACAGTAAAGGGATGCAGGCATCAACTAGCAGGCTGGTACTGTACTCTTGGTATAATGTGAATGAGACTGGATCTAGGTTTAGGACAACAGGATAAGAAAAGAAAGCTCAGATCTAAACGCTGAAGGAAAAACACACAAAGCCGCCTCAGCAGTGGGTATTGGAGAACCCTATGGTGAAAGACATCAAAAAGCCTGGACTGAATATGGTGGACAGGAATAGGTGCTGGTGCAACAGGCAGACATAAACCAAGAGACAGAAGAGAAAAGCGACAAAGGTCCAGTTCTCCGAGGTGCTTATCTGACAAGCTCATACAGATGTTAAACAGATGGAAATGCCCAGGAGCACCACTGAGGGGCAGCAAGATGCTCAGAAACCACCCTCATTTATTCTTCATAGGAGCCCTGTGAGGTAGACACGAGGAGGAACAGGATCACTGCAGAAGGCTTCACAGCTGGTGACAATGACATGGATTTAAGGGTCTCTCTTCTGCTGAACTCCCCTGTTCTTTCTAACAGTTCTGTCAGGAACGACTGGTATAGCTCTCCCCTAGTAGACAGTGAGCTTTGTGTGAAACCAAGCTATTTTGATCATCCATGAATGTCTAGCACTCAGCATAATGCCTTTTGCTCCATAACCATTTGCCTACTTGGTAGTCACTTAAATACCTAGCACCCACCATACAGGACCCGCTGACATCTCCAAGGTATAGATGAATATAGCAACAGAAGGTTGCCATGCATAGAACCACAGAGCATCCTGGTCTTGGGGATGGGGAAGAAGATGACTGCCAATTGTTTATACAGACAAACTAAACTAGGATGGCACTGTTCTGAATGCTATCCCTTTCACAGACATCAGGGAAGGTGAGGACTAAAGAAACAATGCTTTGAAACTTACAAATTAAGAAGTCAACCTGACCTGCCAAAGTTTAAGAAGCAAGTTAATCTACAAATGCCTGTGGTAAGAAAACGAAAGGCAGTCGGTCTCTGCTGACTACCCTGACAAGAGTCTGGCAGACACTGCCTATTCCTCTTTTACTAAGAATATCACTAACCATTTCTTTAAATGTCTGAAGATGAAAGGAATGAAGTGACAAAAAATGTGCCTTAAAGAAGTGCTAAGCTTTTGTGCAAAAGCAAAACTACGTGTGTCTTTAGGTGGGAGGCGAGTGCTGGGAAAGTTAAGGTGGTAAAGCAATGAGATAACTAGCAGCGGAGAGGGCAGGACACAGGCCAGGGCTGGAAGATGGCAGGGGTGGCTTTCCAGGAGGGAGGTCTTTCCCAGCAGGAGAGGGAGGCCCAGGCCTGAGACACAGCTGCCTGAGGTCACCTATACCACAGGTTCAATTCTTGCAGTTAGAGTCAAGGAAAGAGGGTCCCTTGGGAGAAGGCTCTAAGGAAGAGTTGCAAAGAATGCCAGACTGAGATACAATCGAAGTGAACACCTAGGGCAAAGGCCCCTTAGATTAGAGGATGAATCTTCAGAGAGAGAATATCAAAATAATCTCAACTTGCTCTAAATTATATATTTATTATTAAGTATACAGTGTTCTGCCTGCACACCAGAAGAGGGCACCAGACAGAAGAGGGCACCAGATCTCGTTACAGATGGTTATAAGCCACCATGTGGTTACGGGGAATTGAACTCAGGACCTCTGGAAGAGCAGCCAGTGCTCTTAACCTCTGAGCCATCTCTCCAGCCCTCTAAATTATATTTTTAAAAGATGCGACACAAACAACTATTCTGATCCCTGCTGGCCAGAGACTTGATGTCACTTTTAAAAGGAACACCCAGGGCTGGAGAGATGGCTCAGCCGTTAAAGGCTAGGCTCACAACCAAAAATATAAAAGGAACACCCAGAAACTCATGGAGGTGCTCATATTAGAATGGGGCAGTGCAGCCTACTGTTAAATGAAGGCCTTGGCCAGTCGGCCCTGGGTGCAAATCCTGACACCTGTGCACCTCTGCTTAACCTCTCTGAGCCTTGGCTTCTCATCTGTAAAGTGAAGATGAGAATACCCACTCTGAAAGACTGTTGTGAGAACTGGGATAATACACACAAAGCAAGTAGATATAACCACTGTTAAGAGTTTTAAGCAGCATGATCCAAATACTCAGCAATGGAAAGGTTACATATACATTATATAATAGTTTCATAAACAATTAAATAGCCTTATTTCAAAAGAAGTTTAAAAACATCTTAGCGTGTGGAATTATTTTAAAAACATCCTAGCGTGTGGAATTACTTACTCATCATCTGGAGTGAGCTGGACTGGTTCGTTAGTAAATTGGGAATCAAAGTTATCCAAACCAAACTCTCCGGAAATGTTTGGTTTAAAGGGCGGCACCACCTGCTTTTGCTCCATCTGAAAGGACACACAGATGAAAGCTCAGGTCTGCACTCAGTAACGCTGTGCCTCTGCATTTACTCTGCTCTCCAAGTCTCAGCAGGCATGCTACTACACACTCTCAGCAGCCATGGCCACGTCTTGTTAATCTGAACGTTGGCATCAGCCTCAATAATATGACAGACTGCTCCAGCACATTGATATTCTGTTTTCCTTTTTAAAGCTGTTCTTTGCTTGTTTGTTTTTTGGTTTTTCAAAACAGGGTTTCTCTGTGTAGCCCTGACTGTCCTGGAACTCGCTCTGTAGACCAGGCTGACCCCTGCCTCTGCAGTGCTGGGATTAAAGGCATGCGCCACCACGCTCGGCTCTCTAAGGCTTTTTATAAGTACTATGCAGAGCTGGGACTGACATGTGAAGCAAGCTTGTTTCTAATTTAAATTTTAAAAAAATCCTGTAAGTACTATGCAGTAGTTTTAAGTTATTTAAACTATAATACCTTAGCTTTTCAATAACATAACATAATAAAAGTTGGCCCTTGGTTACAATAAAACCCAAGCAAGGAAAATAAAATTTACATACCATGTCCCAGTCCACATTTCTGAAGAATGGGTGTCCTTGGATGTCAGCAAATCCAGTTTGAGGGTGACAACCCAATCGTTCCTTTGGGTCCTATGGCAGAAGCAGTGTTAATAGCTAGATGAGTGAGATTCCTATATGATGCCTTCATTTACGTCTAGCTATTCTTAGAAAGCCCATCACCAGACCCAAGTGAGTCATCCAGAGCTCACATCAGGAAAGGTCTCCTCCTGGCTCATCAATCATGGAATAAGCGGAGAATCCCATACTAGACATGTGCATGCCTCTAATCCCAGCACTGGAGAGGTGGAGGCAAGACTATGAGGAGTAAAAACAGGCCACCCTCGTTATACAGAATGCAAGGTCAGCCTGGGATACATGAGATCCTGCTTTTAAAAGGGTAGTGCACTATCACCCCTCTTTGCTAAAGAAACAAGGTGAGAAAAATAAGGGCAGCATTTAGCTATTTCTTTCTCAGAGGCCAGAGTTCAGTCATTATTAAGAAGCTTCTGAACATTACCCCTGTTTAGCTCGGTGTCATAGCCCTATACTTGACTACAGCAACAAACCCTAAGACAATGATATAGCAATTATCTGATCACTGGACTGAGTTGGAGGCTGGACCTCATAAAGCCATGGCTTTTATTCATACTACGAAGTAGAATGCTTCCTCTCTCATAAAAGGCATTTTATTTTATACATTAGCATCCGTCAGCTTCATTTCTCACTGTATGAAACACAAGCTTTCCAGTTTAGATCTTTCCTCACATAAAATAGCCATCCAGAGGCCAGAGAGACGGCTCAGTGGTTCAGAGCACACTTAGCTGCTCTTCCAGAGGATTTGGGTTAGATTCCTAACACCCACACAGCAGCTCACAACCAGCTCTAACTTCAGTCCCAGGAGATGGGATGCCCTCTGCTGGCTTCCTTGTGCACCAGTCACGCATGTGGTACACAGATATACATGCAGGCAAAACACACAGACACATACAATAAAAAAACAGCCATCTAAAACTAAGTGTCAATTTCCAATTTTATTAAAATTCATCCTTATCTGCTCAAGGAGGTAAACATAACCCATTTTCTACCTTAATTTATTTGAAATTCAATTTATGAAACACAAGTTCACAATCTTAGATCCTAAATTCCACTGTTGTACCAACTACCACAAGCAATTGAGTGATGTTTACATTTTCAAGATGCCATTTCATTTCCTCTGAATTTTATCTAAATACTGGGTTAATATGAAATGGATAGAGAATACTACTGATCACATGCTCAAAAAAACACATGGTGGTAAATGGTTTTACAGATAAAGATACATAAAAACAGAACTGAAAATGCAGTTATAGATAATCCTAAAGACTCTATTTTTCTCACACTGATTTATGCATCATTTATATTAAAAGCATCCAACCCAATATCTTTCTGGGGGTAAATTATACTGGTCATGTGGCAAGGATAATCGGGTCAGGATTTGACTAGGTCTCATTGATTATGAAATAAAATTTCATCCTAACTGAAAAGTTACATAATCACCAGGCCTGAGCCTCCACTTAGGAGGCCAACTTACACAGGTAAAGAAATCACATAAGATTTTACAAACAATCGTACCTTGTTGAGAAAACTCTTCAGCACACTTGCTGCTTTTACAGACAGAGAACGTGGTATGCGAATTTGCTTTTCCAAAATAACTAAAAAGATAAGAATGACAGTATTAATTCTCAGCGTTTTATGTGGCTTGAAGTATTTTCTCTACATTCCAAGATATTTCAGGCATTCCAGAAGAAAACACAGTATGTACATAACTGAAACACTTCATGCATTTTCCTAATCCCTTGGCCTCACTTCTCAGAGCTGGCCTCTTACCTGAACATTGCATTTACTATTTACAAACATGCTTTATTTTTTTTTACTACCTTACTGTGCCTCAGTTTCTTCCTATGTAAATAGAAATTAAAAACAATACCTGCTTCACAGGGTTCTTATGAGGTATAAAAGGTAATAATATAAAGTGCTTTCCTATGCAACACGGAATTGTACCAGGAAATGTGAAATTATTCTGCAAAGCTACTATCAACTTCCACCCCCCACAGTAGCCCTGAAAAGCTTCCATTGCTCCACACCTTCATGAGCACTAGCCAGTTATCATCCATCTAAAGTCAAATGCATAGGCATAAAACTGTAGCTCATTAACACTTAGTGAGTATTCTTCCAATTACCAGGGCATTTCATATTCTTCATGATACTCTGGTTCCCTATTACATTAGATACTTCCTTGAATTCTGTGAAGGTTTTTAACTACTAAATGCAAAATTTTGTGGCTACTTTCACACTCTGTGGTAGAGGTCCTGGTGCCTGGCCTCCTGCTTCTGTTCTGTTCAACTTCTAGTAGTCCTCACTGTGGCCACCTTGAGTCCTTAACATCACTCTGAGCAGTCTGCTTTTTTTGTTTGTTTGTTTGTTTGTTTTCCAGAGACAGGGTTTTCTCTGTATTGTTTTGGAGCCTGCCCTGGAACTCGCTCTGTAGAGCAGATTGGCCTCGAACTCACAGAGATCCACCTGCTTCTGCCTCCCGAGTGCTGGATTAAAGGCATGTACCACCAACGCCTTACTTTTTTTTCTTTTTCTTTTTCCTCTCTGCTATCTTCACACTCTACTTTTCTTGAAATTAGGCACTAAGCCAGGAGCTTGTGTACAAAGATTAGTCTCTCTAGGCAGTAGATTCCCTACTGCAATACCTGTGATGGACAAGCTAAGCTGCTTTGTTATGAGTTTGAGTGTGGGAAGGGTACATTTAAAAGTTATCCAAACTATCATTAAGTCACATGTCCAATTTATTCTTTTTTTTTTTTTTTTTTTTTTTCCAAGACAGGGTTTCTCTGTGGCTTTGGAGGCTGTCCTGGAACTAGCTCGGTAGACCAGGCTGGCCTCGAACTCACAGAGATCCGCCTGCCTCTGCCTCCCGAGTGCTGGGATTAAAGGCGTGCGCCACCAACGCCCGGCCAATTTATTCTTTTTCTTACTGAGAATAGTAATTTGGAAGCCCTAATTTTTCTCTAGGTTATTCACAGAGAATCTCAACAAAATACTGCAAATTACCTTGGAATAGATAATCCTCTGTATTTTGATCAGGATTATCGGAGCTCCCAACAATATCAAATGGAGACCTTCCCGCCATCATCTCAAACATGAGCACTCCAAGAGCCCACCAGTCAACACTGAAGCCTTTGGAAAGAAATTTTAAATAATAAATTTTCTTTGTATTCATGAAGAGCCAGTAATCAGAAATGTATTTTATCATGAGATGAAAATGCAAACATAATGAAAAAGTAAATTCTAATCAGATTATAAATAGTATGGTAGGCACTAAGAACTGCAGAAATATTTGGTCCAACCCTAAAAGGAACATCTATACTATAATCCTTCCTCCCAAGTAGAAGATCATTGTGGAAAATGGGGAAGACTATAAATGTAGGAGGTGCTGAACCAATACAAGTAAACAGCAGCTTCCAGACACAGTAGGGCAGTTGCACATATAAACTCACAGTAGCTGGGATAGGCTGTACAAACCCCATGTTAACTCAGGTCAGACCAAACACCAGCATGGTAAGGGCAGGCAGACACAAGGAGCTATGGTAAGTGATAGCTGCTGGAAGAAGGAGTTTTCTCTAAGAGAGTTGTTCCTTGTAAGCTGACCGTGCTTCATGGGCAACAAACTAGACAAGATGAGTGAAACAGAAAAGGACACAAAGTTGGATGAGTAAGGAAGGTGGAAGTTGGGAGTGGATTTGGGGGGAATGGGAAGCTGGTAGATATGATCAAAACGTTGTGTGAAATTCTCAAAGTACTAATAAAAATAATAAATACAATGGAAGCCAGATGTGGTGGTGCACAATTTGATCCCAGCACTCGGGAGGTAGAGGCAGCCAGATCTTTGTGAGTTAAGAGGCCAGCCTGGTCAACATAGCAAGTTCCAGGACAGCCAGAGTTATGTAGAGAGACCCTGATGCAGAAAAAAAAGTTTCATCTGCTGCCTGGCGAGCACCCAGTCTTTAGCATCTTTTAGACTCCTAGGAGAAATATCCCAGGGGATCTGAACAATCTTCTAGGAGCTCATGACCCTGGCTTCACACAGCTGATGCTTTAAAACCTACATGGCTACTGTGATCTAGGCATATTGTTTAAGCTTTTCTGTGCATCAGTTCCCTCATTTGTAAAATGAGTCAAAAAAACTTACCTCAGGCGTATAAGGGAGCTTAGAGTTAATTGTTTATAATAGTTCTTGCCACTGCTTGGTGTTTGTTAATAGTAAAATATTATTTAAATGTATATTTCAATAAATACCAAACTCTTTTTTGGCTCTGGTTTCAGAATATGAGGGTCTTCACGTATGTTAACAGAACCAAGAAAAAGGGTCTTCACGTATGTTAACAGAACCAAGAAAAGTATTAAAATGCTATAGCATATTATATGATAGTTGGTACCACATTAAAACAACCAATATAGCAGTAGTTAAAATACCACCTATTTATTTATTACCATAATCTTCTCCTCTTAAAATCTCAGGAGCAATGTAATTGGGAGTTCCACAGAAAGTGCTGGTTGTATCTCCAGGTCGTAATCCTTCCTTTCATAGGGGGAAAACAAAAGGAGAAAAAAATAAAGAAGATACAAAACAATTTAAAGGTCACCTCTTCCATTTCATCTACTGTTTAAATTCAGCATGTATATGCAATACATTACACCTAGACAACATCACTAGGAACAGTTACCTTATTATGAAAATTGTGATTGCTAATAAATAGCATAAAGAAAACTTATTCAGATTAGATGTTGCTAAAGTCACTTTAGCAAGAGACAGGTGGATCTCTGTGAGTTCGAGGCCAGCCTGGTCTACAGAGTGAATTCCAGGCCAGCCAGTTGAAGCTTGGCTTCAACAAAAGAAAATACCAAAACAAAAACTTTTCTAAAAAATAATATTTGTTGTGCTGGAGAGATGGCTCAGTGGTTAAAAGCACTGTGGGCTGCTCTTCCATAGGTCCTGAGTTCAATTCCCAGCAACCACATGGTGGCTCACAACCCTTTATAATGAGATCTGGTGCCCTCTTCTGGCATGCAGACAGAACACTGTATATACAATAAATAAATAAAATTTAATACAAAATCAAGAACATGACTAAGATGAACCATCTAACATGACTGTTGACGGACATTACAAGGTTTTGTGTCCAGTCACTTTTCCTGTGGAGCATGCCTTCTGCTTTTGTGAACAATTAAGGCACAATGCACAAACTACATACAGAAAATACTCAATAATAAATGGAACAACCACTAAGAGCTGTAACAAATATAAATTTCTGTATACTTACTAATATATTCTTTTAAAAAGAAGAAAAATGAACACATTAGGAAAATATCATGGTCTCAATCATGAGATTCTAACATTCCTATATCAGAAAATCCATCCTTACATACCAATAACGAATAAACAGAAAATTTTAGATTAAAAACTAAAACTAAAAAGAAAAAATAAGCATGGTGGTGCACACGTGACCCCAGCACTGGAAGACTGAAGCAGGAGGACTGTTAATGCAGGGAAAACCTCAGCCACAAAGGTTTGAAGATGTGGTCTCAAAACACAACACAAGACAAAACAAACAAAAAAAGCAAAACCATAAAACAAAACCCACCCAAACAAATAACCACAAAATAAAACCAATCCAACAATCAAATATGCTACATACACCCGTATACATGGTAAAAATATGGGAAGGAGAGAAAGTCATAAAAGACCCCTCACAGAACCGAGGAGACAGCTCTAGGGTAAATTCTCGCCATACAATCCAGGCTGGCCTTGAGTTCCTGACCATCCTGCTTCAGCCCTGTAGAGGTGGATCACCAAACCTCTGCCTCCTCGTGCTGTTGGTAATCTAACATTGAAACAGTAACTCAAAATGGGAAAAGAAAAAAAAACTTCTAACTTATAGATTAATACTTTTTATTTTTATCTGGTCTTGAAACTCATAAAAATCCACTATAATTGTGATTTTTTTTAAAGGTAGGATTTCTCTACATATCCCTGGCTATCCTGGAGCACTCTGTAGACAGGCTGGCCTTGAACTCAGAGATCTGCCTGAGTAGATTAAATGTGCCAGCTTGATTTTTTTTTTTTTAACCAGAGAGAAAAACACTCTAGGGAAAAGAAATGGCAGAGCAAAAAGGAATCCTACAAGAATAATTTAAGGTATATATCATATGAAAAATAGTCTTGAGTTTTATACATTGTGTGAAAACTTTATTTCCTAACATCAGATGTGCAGGTGTAACATTAAATCCTCAGTACCATTCCAGTGTTTTACTGATGTAAGAATTTGGAGCTCCGGTCTGGTGGTACTTCCTCCAGGTGGATGGGAACACAGTGCATACACTCACACACCCGGGGATGCTCTGCTGCAGCAGGGTTTTTGTTTGTTTGTTTTTCGAGACAGGGTTTCTCTGTATTGTTTTGGAGGCTGTCCTGGTGCAGCAGAGTTAATAAGCAGAATAGTTCTCTAGACATTTTGTGAGAAAAGATCAGACCTTTAAATAAAACTGTTGCCAAAAAACCAGAACATCAATAAATAGACATATTCTGAGATAAGATGTTTACTTGATTTTTATCATACTTTATGTCACAGAGATTTGGAATGTAGTAAACATAAAAACAGATTTCTAAGAAAAAATTGCAAGTAGGTTCAGGGTCTACTAAATGGCAAACAATTGGAAGCTGATATGCAAACACAGTGTTAACATAATAAGGACTGTGGGTAATTGTTATTTCCAAATTTTCTTCAAAAGCCTAACAGCTTTCAAAACAAAAAGTTACGACCAATTAAAAAAAAGATTAAACCTATCTAACACTTATCACAAAATATGTGGAATTCTGCAAATGGCCAAATGGTCAGGGAGTACACTCACCTTCAGTTAGAATTCCAAAACATTCTAAACAAGGCAGTTATAATTTTCCATCTACACATGAAGTTACTTAACTGACAGGTCATGAGCTGCTTGGAGGTTCTCACCTTACACATGCCATAGTCAGTGAGTTTAATGTGTCCTTCAGAGTCCAACAGTACATTGTCCAACTTCAAATCTCTATAAATTATCCCTCGCTCATGAAGATAATTTAGTGCTAGACTGATTTCTGCTGAGTAAAACCTTGAATTGAAAAACATACGTTTTTGTTATGAATAGTCACCATTTGAAAAACCCTAAATATACAATGAACACAAAGAGATTATAATAATATGTGATTGGTATACTATATTATGTAAATTAACCTAGTTCAGCCTCCTCATGACTTACAAAGAGTAAACTAGCAACAAGATAACTTGTTTATGTACTGTTTTCAACTAGCAGACCCAAAAGGTCAGACAGCTCTGAGGAAAAAATCCAACTCAACAAAAAACTTACCTGGCATGTTCTTCAGGAAGCTTTCTTTGTCGCTGCATATGAAACATTAGATCCCCTCCATTTACATACTCTATGACAAAAAACAGCCTGAAATAGAGGCAAAACCACAAGTCAAAGTGAGCTTTTGGCACTTAAAACAGAACAGCAATCATGACAGCACAAAGGCATTCTGAATGATTCAGTCCTTGACAAGAACTTAGTGGGAACAAGGGCTTAGATACAAGGAAGCAACCCAGCAAGATACAACTACACCAATTCCACTCTAGGGTAGTACTGCTTGGGGTAAGGAGCTACTTACTGGGTGAGTCATGTTTAAATGTCATGTAAGGTAAAGAAGACATTATGTCATAAGATGAGAATGCTCAGGATGTTACAGGATTGGCCATCTCCTGCTCTTTCTTAGGAGCCCCTTCTCTCCCTCTCTGTTGCTTCCCTTCCTTCCTTCCTTCCTTCCTTCCTTCCTTCCTTCCCTCCCTCCCTCTTTCCTTCCTTCCGTCCTTCCTTCCTTTTTCCTTATTAGGACGGGTGTTAGATTGTAGCAGGAAGTTCTTAGTGCTCCTACAGGAAACAGAAGAAGCCCAGTAACAGTCTGTCACCTTTTAACCTTACCTGCTTTCTGTCTGGAAGCAAGAATGCAGCCCAACAAGAAAAGGGTGATTGGATGCCTGCTCAAAAACGTGCTTCTCTGTCTGTACCCAGTCAATATCCTTTTTAAAATGTCAAAGAAATCTATGTCAAATGAAATGGCCAAAACTAACAATGGCAAATTTGTTCTTAGCAAATCACTCACAAATATTAACTAATTAGACTAAATATCAAAACCACTCACTGACATAAAACAAAACTTATACAAGGAAAAATACCATTAACAAAATGTTCAGTATTATTAAAGTCTTGAAAACTTAGACAGCTCAAGTACTTCCCTAGACAATAATATGCCTTGACTTTATTTTTACCTAGGGCATGCTCTTAGAAAAGTAGCCAAAAATAATAATGCACAAACACTAAAGTACTGTGTTTTTGTTATGTCTGTGTACCTCTGGATTATACCAGGGCCTCTTAAGTGCTAGGGTTTGTCTACAAGTAGAAAAAACATCTCCATGCTTACCTCATCATCATTGACGAGCTCCTTTTTCACAACTTTCATTGCATAAATGCGGTCTGTCTTTTTTAATCGAACCAACAGTACTTTGGCATAACTTCCTCTTCCTATAACTCGAAGCAAATCAAAATCCTGGAGACCTAAACTTGATGATGCTTTACCACTTTCCCTGGTGTTCATCGCCTGTTGAGAACATTTATTTCAACAAAACTTTAACTGGAAATATTTCCACTTTATGTTTCTAACAAACTCTTATAACCATAACATTTTAAAGTATTTTATTAACATAAAATATTTTAAGTTCTTAACTCTTTTCTTATATATTCTAAAACATTTAATCTGTCCATTTACAAGGATCATCTAAGATAATCTTTTAGATGCTACTAGCAAAGCCAAAAAGAACACCTCCAGGGACCAAGCCTATATAGCTCAATACTGCAAAGTCACCAACATGTAATCAACAAATGTCCCACAAAAACAAAGCAGGAGTTCTCTGGTGAAAAGTATCAAGAAAAGAAAAGGAAGACAGGAGGGGGAAATGGGGAGGGGAGAGAGGAAGGGGAAGGAGGAAGAGCGGAAGGAAAGCTGCAGATCTGAGCCCTCTGGTGTCTATAGGCACTGCCTGTATTCACACACCCAACAAAAACAGCTTGTATTAAATCTTAAGGCTACAGGAATATAAATCAATAATAGAATGATACATACATAGCCACTATTTCCACTCCAAGGACTGACTTAAAAGAGAGACTAAACAGAGTGTAGACAAGAATGAGGAGCAACCAGGACTGTCACCAACTGTTGATGGAAGTATAAACTCACAAACCAAAGGCTGTGGCCGGTTTCTTACAGTGGAGTGTGCATACTACGCAGCCAGTCTACTGCTTATGCACCAACTTGTTTACTTACTTACACAATTAACTGTAGTACTGGGGAGTGGAATTTTCATTTCATTTTATGTAGTTCTAACACTAAGGACTGAACCCAGGACCTCGTGTATGCTAGGCAAGTGTTCCATCACTCAACACTACCTTTTTTTCCAGTTTTTATTTTGAAACAGATCTTCACTAAGTTGCCTAGGCTGGCTCTGTGTTGAGTAGCCAGGCAGCCTTAACTTATCCTCCTACTTCAGCCTCCTGAGAAGCTGGGATGACATACAAGCTTTCATCAGCAGGGCCAGTTGCCAAATCATATTTATAAGATTGTTTCAGGCTGGAGAGACAGCTCAGAGGTTAAGAGAACTGGCTGCTCCTCCAGAGGTTCTGAGTTCAACTCCCAGCAACCACATGGTGGCTCACAACCATCTGTAATGAGATCCGGGGCCCTCTTCTGGTTACAAGCATACATGCAGGCAAAATACTGTATACATAATAAATAAATCTTTAAGATATAAACCTTTTAAAAAAAAGATTGTTTCATCATAGCTTATCATAACAATTCCAACTGAGAGGGGGAAACCGAAGTGGGTCAGATAGACCAAAATGATAAAATAACTGAAGTACTACTCTGCATCTATGTTACATGGAGGAAGTCAGAGACACGCACATTGTGTGTTTCTACAGCCGGAACAAGAGCAAAGGAAGGCACAGCTAATCTGAGGCGCATAGATAATGTACTCTGGGGGGAGGTGAGGGAGAAGAGACGAGAAGCAACAGACAAGCCTCTGGAGTGCTGGTGGATCTTTCTTCTGAGAGGTCATCATACAGTGCTCACTGTGCTGAAAATTCACCTAGCTTCGTCCCATCGTCTGGGTGTTTGCTACACACACTTCTACCACTTAAAAGGAGTAACAACCAAAGCAGCAAGAATAATGATGATACTGATAAAATGCCAATGCCAGTTTCTGAAAGGAACAAAAAGGAATAGAAGAGCACCGAAGAGCCCATGGAAGAAACATGAGCAGCACAAGGGTCCAGAAGAACAGAGAGCTCATTCTTTAGTTTAGGGTTTTCTTCCTTTGTCTGACTCAGTCAGCCTATGAACAAAACAAGGAAGATCTGGTCACAGTGGCAGGGGGGTCATAAATGCAGAAGTAAACATGCAGCTTCAGGAAACAAAGCTGAAAGAAGGCACATGGGCACATGAAACAGAGTGGACACATGGGTGCTGCTGGGCTGGGCATTCACACTCGGAGGGAGGGAGGGAGGGAGGGAGGGAGGGAGGGAGGGGGAGGGAGGGAGGGAGGGGGGAGGGAGGTCTTCCTTGTATTTTACTGTCAGAATCTAATACGTAAGCAGGTCAAAATGTTACATTTCTAAAAGACTATGTCTTCATAAAAAACTAATGCTGTGCACAGTAGGACAAATTATCTTACCTCCTTTTCTTCACCAACTTGGTCCAAACTTTCATGACTTGAAGGGTTATATGGAATTACTAAAAATTCAAAACCAAGTATTAAAAAAGAAAAATAATCAATGATGAATTTGACTTATAATTTTTCTTGATGGTTTTTCTTAATTTTTACATATGAGTAAGTAATTAGTTAAAGCTTGATATTTGTCATAAATTGTACTCTCCCAGAGGCCCTGAGTTGGATTCCCAGTAACTGCATGGATGGCTTAAAACCACCTATAGTGGGATCTGATGTCCTCTTGTGGCATAAAGTTATACATGCAGAAACAGCACTCGTACATAAAACAAATAAATCTTTAAAAAAAAATAAGGTAAAGAAAGATCACTTAAAAAAATCAGAGCAGTGAAGGCAGAGAGGAGACTCCAGCTGGCAGCCAACTCCAGTTTTTTCTCTTCCTTATGGATAATTTGTTCTCTATAGAGGACTATAATCCTACTGAAATGCTTTACTACCCCAAGACAAAGACGGCAGGCCTACATTTTATTTCTCATCTTATCGTCTTAAAAATGCTTGACTATTATACAAATCAAGAAATGATAAGGTCGGGGCTTCTGCTCCTCAGGGCTGCTAGGAGTCTGGGGACTAAAAGCCCTCAGATCAGACTTTTTAAGCTTCTTTTATGACAAATGGAATAGTCTGTCCTTCCAGAAAAATTCTTTTAGCTTCAGAATTTTCCAAATACATGCTTAAGATTTTGTTCCTGTTTAACATTTAACTTATCCCACATAGTCAGTTTGCTGTGCTGTATCACGACATTTCCAGAATAAGGATCTGAATAAAACCAAACTGCTTCAACAGTCAACATGGCTCCAAACTCAGCTTTGGACTTCCACACTGGGAAAAAGAAACTAGGCTTGCTGAACTGAAAGGATTCTCCAAAAGAATTTATTTGAAATAGGAAAGTCAACTATTAGCTTACCCAGTTGTTTCTTCAAATGCTAGATATGTATATTAAAATATTGTGACAAATTTTATCACAATATGCTTAGGTACATTGTGTTTTTAAACTCAAGCTTAGGCTCCAGGGCAGAGGGCTTAAGGTGGGGGAAATACAGGAGAAAACGGGGAAAGAGAAACAGCAAAAGTTTTATTTGAAAATGCTATGATGAAATCTAATACTTTGTATGCTAATTCAAAAGTTAAAAAGAGATGAAGGATAATATGAGGAGTCAGACTTTATAAAAGCACCCAGAGCAGCCGCTACTCCCTCACCTGTCTGTGCATGGTCTGGATGCAAGGATGACTGGTCCATTGGCATCAGCGGTTCCTACAAACGATCCAAAGACACAGAAACTTACAAGATTCCTCTTAAATCCCCAAACCTCTATACATCTAGAAATGATGGTATTTTAATGAGATGTATCGTACTAAAACTAAATGTGAAAAACTCTAAGTGATATGAATTATATTACTATAATAATTAACTATATGAAGCCATGCAATACTCCTATGGATGACATAATCCACATTTTTTTACAGAAAAAAAATAAGCAAGTGATTTCAAGTCAGTTGGAAATAAAACTGTGATCCCCTCTCCATTACCTTTTGCCCCTTTGAGCTCCCTCTGAAAAATGCCACATTGGAAGGAGAGAACTATTCCCCAGTCACTCTCCAGCCTCTAGATGCTGTGGTACACGCACATGCACAATAATGATGAATAAAATAGAAGAGAAAAGATAACTGGGGACTGGAGAGACTCTTAAGAGTGCTTGCTCCTCTTGCAAAGGGCCTGAGCTCAGTTCCTAGCACACAATTTGGCAGCTCACAACCACCTCTAACTCCAGCTCCAAGGGGATCTGACACCTTCCTCTGGCCTCTAAGGCCAGAACACACACAGCATATACTCAGATAGATACATACACATAAATAAAAATGAATCTGAGAAAAGACCAAGTCATATTGTTCAGTGAGAAGAATGAGTTAGAAAAGGATGTACATCACTTTTACTAAAGTATGTTAAAAAAAAGACACTCAAAGTAGTGAATAAATTAAATACTTTAAATGACTAAAAAGCAATTGTTTCTCCTACAATAAAATTTTAAGGAGCAAAACAGGAGGGAAGAAGGAGGAACCACAGAATTTAAAAAGTATGGAAGAAACATCAATCAAGGACAGCCTGAATCTTGATTCAGAATGAAAAATTGTACCTTTTCATCAGACAATTATTGGTATTTCTAAACTTCCAAACTTTACGTATCTTAAATGAAATGTAAAGGACTCTTACACACCAATGAAGCATGTTGTACACATATATAACAAACAAAATCCTATGCCTTACCGGTGGCAAAGAATGCCGCCCACACTCAACCGTGACAAGCTTGTGACACTTCTTATGAACCAACAGTTTGCAATTGATGCACTTATATCCTTGTCGTCCAAGTCCCCAGATTCTGTCTGTGCAGATAGCACAGTGAGCACGCTGTAAAGAGTATATTCAAGAACATTTTATCACAGCCAGGAAGTGGTGGCCCACACCTTTAATCCCAGCACTGAGGATGCAGAAGCAAGTGGATCGATCATTGGAAGTTACAGGTTAGTCTGACCTACATAGTGAGTTCCAGGATAGTCAGGGTTATATACCCTGCCTCAAAAAACAAACAAAGGAGCTGGGCGTTGGCAGCGCATGCCTTTAGTCTCAGCACTCGGGAGGCAGAGGCAGGTGGATCTCTGTGAGTTCGAAGCCAACCTGGTCTACAGAGTGAGTTCCAGGACAGGCTCCAAAGCTACAGAGAAATCCTGTCTCTAAACACCAAAAACAACAAAAACAAAGCAAAACAAAACAAAAACATAAGCCAAAGTTATTTCCCAACAGCTTTCTTATTATGCTTTCAATCCCAGTACTCATAAGGTAGAGAGGCTAACTGATCTGTAAGTTCAAAATCAGCCTGGTCTACATAGTGAGTGCCAGGCCAGCAAAGGCTACATAGTGAGATTCTGTCTCAAAAAATTCAAACAGGCCAGGTGGTGGTGGTGCACACCTTTAATACCAGCACTTGGGAGGCAGAGGCAGGCAGATCTCAGTGAGTTTGAGGCTAGCCTAGTCTACAAAGCAAGTTCCAGTATAGCAAGGGCAACTATTACACAGAGAAACCCTGTATGGAGAAAAGAAAAACAAAACAAAACAAAAATCCAAACAATCAGAAACCCCAAGACATTTAAAAATAAGTGGTTTTGCTTACCACTGAATTCACTGTTGTTAACCTATGGCAAAATCAAACTAAACAAAACTTTCTTACATATGATTTTTCTTCAAAGGCTATTAAAGATCAGTGAAAAATAAACAGAAGACAAGTCAGTTTCAAAGAGACATGAATATTCAGCCATGTTACTTTCTGATGCTAAATGCAAGAAATTTTCATCTTCACAAAAGTTTTACAGTAAAGAACACAGGAAAAGTGGCTAATAAGCCACATATGCAGAGGGCAAAGCTGCTTTCTTACAGACATTAGTGCCCAAAGCTTTGGTGATGTCATGGTCACTGGCAGTAAGAGTTTGAGGGTCTCTCACATTCATTTCTACTGACATGGATGAACTTAGATTATTTTAATTGTAGAAATGAAATCCATAAATGTATATTTATCAAAAGAAGTTAAACCAGACACTCTTACACTTAGGCAGACAGAAGAGGTTGCCATGGGTTCTTGGCTAACTTCAGTTATACCAAGTACCAGGCCAACTGTGGCAACAGTTAGAACCTGTGTCAAAAAGGTTGGGGCTGTTTCTAAACACAGGCTTATGCAAACAGACTGCTTACTCTCAAACCCCAGCTTTGCACTTACTGGCTAAAACATCTAAGACAAGACTTAACTTCATTTTTCTCATCTATAAAATGGAAATACAGTACCTGTTTTTTTTTTCCACAGAGCTATTATAAGGATTTAGTGAGTCAACACAGATGAAACACTCAGAGTAAAAGCTAGCCAAGTGGTTGCTACTAATACTGTCTTCTAAATAGTGAATCAAAAGGCTTATACAATAAACTTTCACGATTTCTGTCTGCTTTAAATTATATTGAAACATAATTTTTATAACTCTAAAAAAACCATTTTTTTCAGACTCATTTGGATATAAGGTGCAAACATTAGAAGTTTATCTAAGCCAGGTGTTGATGGTGCATGTCTTTAATCCCAGCACTTGGGAGGCAGAGACAGGATGATCTCTGTGAGTTCCAGGCCAGCATGATCTACAGAGTAAGTTCCAGGACAACAGCCAGGGCTGTTACACAGAGAAACATTGTCCCAAACAAACAAACAAGCAAACAAAGCCAAAGACAGAGACGTTTGATCTAAGACTAATAGCATTCATTCATCTAATGAGGACCAGAGTGAAGCAGAGTCCTAGGTGGTGAGAGGAAGTGCTATTTACACTAGAGGCACTGCCACAGCAGCAGATACAAGGCCTTGCTGCTTAGTTCTTTTAAAAGGACTACCAAGATTGAATAACAAACTACCTTTCTCTCACAGAAAGAAAAAAAAAATAGATGTCTCAAAGTATTGAAATCCAACAAAATAGGTTTACCCTGTTGAAACGTTTGGCTTGAAAAGTGTGGCCATTTGCACAGTAAAGCTTTCTCCACCGGCGTGCTCCTCTGCGGTAAATGGACTCTGAAGAGAGATTGACAGTCAAAGAGAACAAGTTTGAATGAAAGCCACTTAATTAATCTTTTATATACTTATTGCTGGAAAAACTATAGTAACACACACTAGAAACTGAAAATGTAAAAATGGGTTCACTAAAGGACTTGTTAAAAACCAAACACCCAGGGTACCGACTTTGGAATAATTAGTATTGCTTTTCTTATACTGTATTTTTTTAAAAGATTTTATTTATTATGTATACAATGTTCTGTCTGCATGCATGCTTGCATGCTGAAAGAGAGCACCAGATCTCATTATACATGATTGTAAGCTACCATGTGGTTTCTAGGAATTGAACTCAGGACCTCTGGGAGAGCAGTTAGTGCTCTTAAAACTCTGAGCCATCTCTCCAGCCCAGTATTGCTTTTCTTTTAAAGAGATTTTCCCCCCTAACATTTGAGAAAAACTGAAGTTCCTGGACAGGCTAAAGGAGTAAGTATTTGTATTCTTTACCTGATTTACAAGCTACTACTTACTCTTTGTTATACCGAATATCTTCTCAATAAATACAAATAAAAAACAGAAATCTTCTTTGTTCCTTCTGAATGATTTGGAAGATACAATGTGTGAATCTAATGACATTCACCGTAACCACAATATAATTACTGCATCTTAAAAAATTAACTTAGTATCAGTATCGCTCAGTCTAAAGCTCACATACAACATTTCTTAATTGTTCTCAAAGTGTCTTTCAAAGCTGTCATTTTTATAATCAGGAACAAATCACAATGCAGGCATTCACTGCATCTGGTTTCTTTTGTTCGGCTGTCAGGTTGGTTGGTTTTTACCTCCAACACATTCAAAACCATCCGCTCTGCTTTATTTTCCATGTCTTAGGCAGTGTTTTTATGTTCCACACCCATGTTGCAGTGTCTGCCTCTTCATGATCAGAGTCAGTGCTAAATACTTTGAACAAAAGTACTATAGAGCTGCCTTTAAAGAGGAGAGGGACGAGAGGAATGTCTCTGCTGGTAAGCGCATCTCATTGCTCTGGCACCCAGACAAAAACAGCTCACAACTGCCTGCAACTATGGAGTAAGCATTGAGGCAGCCCCCCCCCCAACCCCGCTGGCAGCACGCTGAGGAATCAGATGCTCTCTACTTCTCAGGCATCTCTATGATATGTGCACATGCACAATTAAAAATAAAATAATAAGACAGAGACTGTTATGTTTTTCTTATGGTATTACATCAGAGGGGCACACAATGTCAGAATGTCAGTGCCCACTTCTGGTAACCACCCTTACAAGTAGTGACTGCATCTCTTCTTCACTGTAATGTACATTTTATGTCACGTAAGAGAATTGTAAGTGATATTTTATATAACTCTATCTACAACAAATGTTTGTCCTTTTTGGTTTGTTTTGGTACAATACTGGGTATTGAACTCAAGACCTCACACATTACATCATAAGTATTCTAGTCCACTCCAAAGGTCTTATATAAGTGCTATTATCCTTTTTAATTTTTTAAAACATTTATTAGTGTTTTGTCTACATGTATGTACTTAGTATTCTAGAGGTGAGATGGGGGAGTTTGATCTCCTGGAACTGGAGTTCCAGATGGCTGTGAGCTACCATGTGGGTGCTGGGAACCGAACTCAGATCCTCTAGAAGAGCAACAAGGGCTCTTAACCTCTGAGCTATGTCTCCAACTCCCACAAACACTATTTTTTCCCCCAAAACAGGGTTTCTCTATGTAACAGTCCTGGATGTTCTGGAACTCACTTTGTAGACCAGTCTGATCTTGAACTCACAGAGACTCTCCTGCCTCTGCCTCTTAAGTGCTGGGATTAAAGGCTTGTGCCACAACTATTCCTAAAACACATAGGAAGAGGTTCCAAACAATCAAATCTAATCCACTTGTGATTCTGGATATCCATCACTATGGCAGTACTGTCTAGTAAATTACTGTCTACTGGTGAGATTCCTCAGTGGTAGTAAGTAGTAAGGAATACTTCTAAACTACTTTAAAGCAGATGTAGCATTGAATCCACTACTTCAAGTTCAAGTGGAAAGTACCAGCTACAAAGCTCTTAGAAGTCTTTTAATCTGCTTGCAGAGCTGGGGATAGAGCCAGGGCCTTATACCAAGTAGAAGCCTTGCAGCATGATGCCTGACACTAAACACAGGGGCTTTCTCTTGTGCCTCCACTCTCTAGCAAGTGCCAGCACATGTTAGCTTACCAGATACTCCTATGAACTAGCTTGTATGCCCTAAATGTAAATATTTTACTGCTGTCTAAGAATTTAAAAGGCCAAGAGACCACAGTCATGGTTACTACACTCTAGTTTACTATTTAATTTTCTGGGTAAACGGTGGTGTCAGACCTCCACTACTAAATTTTAAAAGGTAAATGAATGCCTAGGTAAATAAGGTAATGGGAAAGCATGGCATAAACCTACAATGGACATGGAGCTCTGCACAGATGTGCTACAATGCCAACTCTTTCAAAGCTCTGGCTCTGGGCAGAGAAGACACCCATTCTCTCCAGCAGCTCTGTAAAGAAGCCAACATGGCTTCAACTTTCCTTCCACTAACAGCCCAGCAAGATGACGCCAGCCGAATACAAACCCGCATTTTCACTACTGTCGGGGTGTTCTGCCCATCCTTTATTTCCCCATCTTCCTGTATAACATGTTACATCCATTTCACTTTATAACTCTTTGTTTTCCCCATTCACTAAAGGGCATTAAGTCACTAAATTAGAAGCTTAGACTTGGAAATTTCTTATAATTCAAAGAGAAACATTCACTACTTTTCCTTCTGAAGTCATGAATATGTGTAGAAACCATAAATGAAAATGAGATTCTATAACAATTCCTAACAATGTGACATCTACAAAGTATCTAAAAGTGTCAAGTCAATTATTCTCACACTATATATTAAGCATAAGAAAATAAACGAATCAATGTAACAAGTAGGTTATTAAATATAGAAGTATATACATATGTGTACACACAAATGCAGTGGTAAAAATAAAATGCTAATGTTGAATCTGGGTAAGTGATACATAGGTATCCTTTTTTTCCCCAAAGATGTTTTGCAATTTCCACAGATTTGAAAATATCCAAAATTAAAAAACATGAAGCCACATGACTTAACTTAATTGTCCTTTTATATGCATAACAGACAGTTATATAACATTTAGCTAGATGAATTCCATGTGGCAAAAGCAGAGCTTAGGCAGTTGGTAATATAGTGTAATTAGATTGAAAAAACAGAATAAATCAAGCAAATGAAAAGTTCTATTTCTTAGCAGAGGCATGGTGGCACATGCCTTTAATCCTAGCACTCAGGAGGCAAAGGCAGGAGTGGAAGCCAACCTGGTCTACAAAATGAGTTCCCAGACAGCCAGAAACCTTGTCTAGAAAAACAACAAAGTAAAAAGTTCTGTTTATTTTCATTTTGAGTAACGCTTTTCAGGTGTACAGGATACTAAAAGCACTCACTGTCTTCTCCTGGGCAAGGCATTCCAGGACGTTCTGGTACACAAGGAAATACTAAAAGAAAATTAATTAAAATTAATTACCAGCATATTTACAAAATACAAATTATATAGAATTGAACTGATTCAAATTTCAAAGTGACTTGAGATATCAAAGGCAGAATTTTAGCACATGGTCAAAATTAGTCTACTAAAAGCTCTCACTTTAACCAAGCCTATATAAAGTAAGTTTCTGTGAAAATAAATATGTCTATAGGTAACACACTAGATACTTAAATTACTAATTCTAGTCTCTTGTGAATAATCACTTTTTTCCCCCTTCTGGTCTTTGAAGAAACTAACTACTACTTTTTAAAATATTTGTTGTAGATAACTTTGTTACAACAAGAATTAAATGACAAATATCAGAGTTTTTAAAGACGTGTACCCAATTTAGGAATGAATTAATATCAGAAATAGTATAAAGATGTGTACTCAATTTAGGAATGAATTAATATCAAAAATAGTACCCAAACCCTCCAAATATAAGCTTATGTTCTCTAAGTTTATAAACACACCAAAGAAAGCATCTTATAGTGAGAGCATCTTGTTAACTAAGTGTTTCCTGGGACAGGAAACAGTCTACCAAGCCCAGCACTGTGCTAAGCAAGTATTCCACAGCTGAGTCCACTCTCAGCTCTCATTTTGTTTTGTTTTGAGATGTGGTCTCACTATGTAACTCAGACTGCTCTAGAACACAAGACCCTCCTGACTATGCTCCCAAGTTGTAGGGTAATAGGCAGCTGCTACTTGCCGGGATAACTGATTGTTTCTCTAACATTTTATACTAGAAAAGGGTAGTCACTGCCCTGCACACACACTCGAAGACTTCTAAAGCTGTGTAGGAATGTCTACGTTGTGAAACAACAGGAGATTACATTTTAATATCCTAGAAGACTATATACAGATAATACATTTCTCCTAGGCTATAAAAAGCAGAATCATTCTACTTGGTCTAGCACAGGAAAGAGAAAGTGAAGGACAATTATGTAGGGATGAGGGCACACATAATAAGTCACACCTAGATTGTATTTAAATAGTCAACAAAAACAGTTAGGTTTAAATTACAACTTTGGGAGTCAATTGATGGCTCTCTTTACCATGGATCAAGAGTTCAGAATCCTTGTTCAGCTCATAAAGCCTGAAAGCTTCTTCTAGTTCTAATTGAGAAGATACTGTACACGGATCTCCTAAAAAACACAAAAAGTAAAGTTCAATCTTCATCTTTTGAGTTAGGTAACTGTAAACAAACTCTATAAACAGTAACAGAAGGGGTGTTTACAAGGACAGAAGTTTAAATATTTCCTTAGACACCCCATTCTCTGAAGTAGATGACATCATATCCATTCCTAGTTGCACAGAAAGAAACACAGGGCCCAGACACTTTCTACATAAAAACAACTGTTCTGCATGTGTGTATGCATGTGTGTGTGTGTGTGTGTGCGCGCACGCGCGCATGCGTGCACACACACACACATACACACGCACTCAAGCACATCTACTCTGACTACCTTCAGGCTGGCATGGATCACTCAGATGTATGGTTATGAGACAGTCTGCTGCCTCTTCCTTATTCTTGGTATTGTGGATGGAGCCCAGGACCAGGCCTGGCAAGCTCTCTAACACCTAGGTATAGAGACAGCTCCATCCCATTTTGTTCTGTTTGGGGATAGGGTCTAAGTTACTCAGGCTGGCCTCAAAAACACAATACTCCTGCTTCAGTCTCCCATGTGTTGGGATTACAGGCCTATACCACCAGGCACCCAACACCCCTCTCCTCTTTCATGTCTTCTTTTTTCGTTAATAACCTACTGAATCTTGTGTGTTGGAATGATGACTGATCTGACTCACTCTTGTGTGTGTAATCATAGCTGTGATGAGTTCATGGGTACAAAGGCCAGGTCATATCCCAAAGGCAGCATTCCTCTCCATCCTGCAGCTCTTACATGCTTTACACCCCTATTCTGAGATGTCCCTCCTCTGACATGTTTCCTGAGTCTTTGGTGGGAAGGATGTTACAAAAGTCCTTCGTAAGGCTGGACAGCTTGAGCTACTCATAAGTGTAAGTGCTGAATTTTAATACAGACACATACACATAAGATGAGGAGGGAACACCTGTCTTCACTAAACAGCCAAAGCGCTGAGTCACTCCTGGAAGTCAAGAGGTGGCATATACACATGATAACGGCATTCCTCATTGAACAAGTCACTTAGGCAAGGCTGGGGCCTGACCTGGATCACCCTCTGCTATTCTAGTGCTCATTCCTGCATTTCCATGAAACTTTCCTCCATGCTAGATGCCACTGATTCTGTCTAATCTTCAGTCACACTCTGCAGAGGACCCAGCTGAAGTCACTATCTCAAAGAAAACAGTGTCTTTATTCTTTTCTCCAGCTCAGCTGCTGAGGCCTTACTCCTGTTTATCGTCTCTGGACATTTATAACATTAGTCCTGATAACTCACAGAGGCACGAAAACTTAGTGAGTTTTCAACTCACTAGGTCGTAAGGCAGTGTTAGTGTTACACAGAAATAGATAACCAAACCAGAAACTGGTACAAAAAGAAGAGAATTGCATGGCCTTTTCCACCTAATGATAGGCAGAAGGTGGCAGCCATGGACTTTTTGTAAAGGCCAGGGAACAGAGAAAATGACTTGGAAAATGGACAAAATGAGTGAACAAAGTGTGGCAACACTGTCATTGAAGGCAATACAGGAAGCAGAAAATACACCCAAAGAAACAGTGGTTACAAATAAAAACATCACAATGACTAGGTAGGAGGTTCAAAGTACAAAATGGTTTCTCTTTTAAAAATAATTTACTTTTTTTAGTTTATGTGCATTGATGTTTTGCCCGAATGTATTTCTGTGTGAGGGTGTTAGATGCCCTGGAACTGGAGTTACAGGCAGATGTGATCTGCCATGTGGGTGCTGGGAATTGAACCTGGTTCCTCTGGAAGAGTAGCCAGATGCCCTCAACTGCTAAGCCATGCCCCCAAAATGGTTTCTTTCGTCAGCCTATGTAGATACAGATGCAGAGAAATATCAAGAATGAAACCATTTTTGGTGAAACTTGGTTACCACAAAGTACCTAAAAGAAAACATTTCCCTGCCAAGCTTTGCTTGGTTTGAAAATAAAACTGCCCTCTCTTCCATTTCTACCTTTAAGTCACAAAAATAAGAAGCACACTAAGGGCAAAGAGCAGATGCATGGAGCTTCTAATAAATTATGAATGTGGGAGCTGGGTATGTGCTTTTGCAGTGCAGTTGCCTAGGGCTGGAGGTACAGGCAGTTGGGAACTGCCCCCTCTGAGTGCTGAGACTGGTCCTCTGCAGGAGCAATGTGTACTTTTAACTGCTTAGCCATCCTGCAGCTCTGCGTCAGGATATTAGGTTAGCATAAGAACCTCTCAAACCGCACCGGGCGGTGGTGGCGCACGCCTTTAATCCCAGCACTCGGGAGGCAGAGGCAGGCAGTTCTCTATGAGTTCGAAGCCAGCCTGGTCTACAGAGTGAGTTCCAGAACAACCTCCAAAACAATACAGAGAAACCCTGTCTCGAAAACCAAAAAAAAAAAAAAAAAAAAAAAAAAGAACCTCTCAAACCTCAGAAGAGTGTAGATGGGATCTTGTCTAGAAGAGATTTATGTGAGTATGGCTATTACCTAATGCAACAGGCATATATGACACATATGACGTCTACAATGTTTAAAATGAAGACATGTGACTTCCGACTATGCAGAAGAAAGTCTAAGAAAGTTACTGAACCACAAACACCATTACCTAGGAAAAGAAAAGGAGGACTCGGAAGCAATGTTAGTCCAGAAGGCAGCAAGGAGCTTTCTTGAGAACAGTGGCATATGCTACTATAGTTCAGAGTCTCCCTTCTTGTGACTAGGAGTAGCTACTGTACTTATCTTGTCTCTAGTTTATTATTCAGTGAGTATTTCACAGGTCTTCAGAACTAGCAAGGAACCTAACCACAGGTGGACAAGCCAAAGAATGAGAAGGACATGTTTGGACTATGAACCTATAGTCGGTTATGATTAGGCTCTGGGTGGTTTGGAGACTGTATAAGCACTTCTGTATAACAGCAAGGAAACAGGGAAGTCAGTCAATCACGACACTACACACATTTAATCTGGTTTGTTTTTCTTGAACTGAATGCCCGAGTGACACATGTGACCTTTTTTGACCATTGAGTTTGATGCATAAAGCAGTCTATATAAGTCATTATGAAGCAAAGATGATCAGGAAAGTTATTTTTCAAAGCAACTCTATCACCAAATCTAAATTTACAGACTGAAACACAAATACATCCTCTGAGTATTTGCTCATTGCAGCTGATTTTGAGGGAATTAAAGGACTGATAAATTCCAGATATTAATCATTAGCCTGTTCTTGTTTTCAATGCACCTACTTTTTTTTTCACCTACAAAAAAGAAGCAAATAAGCGTTAGGCTCTAAAAACAGTTGTTAAATACGAAATATCCAACTATTTGTAAAATAACCTGACAAGATGCAGAACACAAAACTTAGGTCACATATTCATTGTATTTAAATCCACATTCCACTTCCTGGTCCCCACTGGTTCATGGCCATATCACAATGAAAAATGCATTTAGCCCAACTTCAAAGGCCCCCATAGTCTAACATGCTCAACACTGTTTAGAAGTCCGAAGTTCAAAGTCTCTTCTGAGTCTCAAGGAAATCTCTTAAGTGTAATCTCTCTAGTGAAATAACAATTTATGTATTTCCAACATGGATGGCAGAAAATATATATTACCATTCAACAAGGGAGGACTGGGGCATACTTAGCAAATACTGGACCAAAAACCAGCAGGGCGAACTGTAACCCTTAAAAGGCTCCGCCTTTCCAGCTTTGTTGCCTTTGATGACACACACGGGTCCAGTCCTGTGTGCAGATCTCCTCGGCGAGAACCCATGGCTCCAGGACGGCTAACATCATGGGATCTCCAACATAACACATGCTTCAGCTGCACAACTTCACACATGGCATCTCACGGATTCCATGCAGAGACTCCCCTTGACACATGCCAGGCCTCAGTGGCTCTCCTTAACCGTGGAGGAAGAATCCACACACCTTTACTCTTGTAGTTTTCATGACTCTAAAGCCAGAACCATACGGACAACAGTGCCAATTCATCTGCCCTTTTGGGAGCCTGGTCCTCTCCTAGAGTCGCATTTGCAGAAACTTCCCTTATAGCATCTTAAGAGCAGAAAATTCAGCTGGGCAGTGGTGGCGCACACCTTTAATCCCAGCACTTGAGAGCCAGAGGTAGGCGGATCTCTGTGAGTTTGAAGCCAGCCTGGTCTACAGAGTGAGTTCCAGGACAGCTGGGGCTGTAACACAGAGAAAACCCTGTCTCAAAAAAACAAACAAAAAAGGTGAACAGAAAATTCCTCACAAGTTGGAAACTAAACTGGGGAGTTTGCCCTGGTCCCCTTGTGCCATGCAGACCAGCCTTTCCTTAATCCCCTAACCTCTCAGCACAAGTCTTGACTGCAACATTCAATTTCCTCCCCCTTTTCTCTTCGTACTGTAGCTGTGTTCGCTTTGCTCCACTTGGTATTTTTCACTGCAGACCTGAATAGAGTGATTACTGATAATCACATGACAGAGTCCATATTAGGCTGTCCTGAAATCTCCTCCAAGAAATTTTCTTTTCAATTTAGCCTCAGGCAAATTCTTACGACTACAGCACGGAATATACACTGTGTGTATATGTCACTGTGGTTGGCTTAATAAGGAAGCTGACTGGCCAATAGCTGGACAGGATAAATTTAGGGGGAGAGCCAAATGGAGACTGCTGGGAAGAAGGGCAGAGTCAGAGGAGTCACAGAGAGAGACACAGAGGTAGCAGGAGATAAGCATGCTGTGTTGAAAGATGGTACTGCCATGTGGCAGAGGGTAGATAAGAAATGAAAGAGCTAGTCAGTAATAAGCCTGAGCTACTGACTGAGCATTTATAATTATTAAGTCTCCCTGTCAGTTATTTGGGAACAGGAGGATGGGAAAGAAGCTTCTTCATACACTGCAGCAGAAGAAGCCGCGTTCTTTGCCAAAATATCACAAGAATGATTTCTAGTCCAGTTTTTTGTTTGTTTTGTTTGAGACAGGGTTTCTCTATGCAGCTTTGCAGCCTGTCCCGGCACTTACTCTGTAGACCAGACTGGCCTCGAACTCACAGAGATTCACCTGCCTCTGCCTCCTAACTGCTGGAATTTAAAGGCGTGTGCCACCACCACCCGGCTTCTAACCCAGTTTTTAATATTGTTTCTCTGAATGCTGGTCCTATATAATCCATATTGCTCTCAGCAATACTGTCTTCTAAGAGCCTATCAGGAGGTCTATTTAACCCTGCTTGCAACATTTAAATGTACTTTTTCTAGTCCCAAATCCCAATATCTTCTAAAAGTCTTTAAAAACAGGTCAGGTCTGTCACAGCAACAACCCCATTCTTAGAAGACCTGAGTTCTAGTCCCAGTAATGACACACTGGTCAACAGCTGTCTGTAACTCCAGTTCCATGGGAGCCAATACCTTCTTCTGGCCTGATCAGATACTGTATGCACACGGTGCATAGACATACCTGCAAGCAAAACATCTATACACACTAAACACACATATAAAGAATAAGCATAATACTACAGCCCATAATTATATATACTGTCAGTTAAAAATAACAAATTTAGGGAGAGGGTCTAGGCCCTGCCCTGGATGAAATGACAGTCTATGGACACCCTCATGGAGGACCTCACCCTCCCTGGGGAAATGAGGGGATAATGGGGGAGCTGGGGGAAGGGTATGGGAGGAGGGGATGGAAAGAGAGAGGGACCTGGAACTGACTTGTAAGCCAACCATGTTTCTAATCTAAATTTAAACTTAAAAATAAAAAAAATTTAATAATAAAAAAACAAATTTAAAACTAGGTAGAAAACTAAAAGTAAAATAAAAATCCTATCTATTATTCCCTGCCATTCCCTGGCAGTGATGGTTATAAAATTACTATTCACCTACAATGTTTTGCTACTGAGGTCTGGTAGCTCACAAAAGGAGACCAAAGAAGGAGGTCACTGCAAGTTCCTGTCAGACAGGGCCATAAAACAAGACCTGTCTTTATTTAAAAAGAAGTCAACTTAGAGGCAGCCCAGCAGTTAAAAACACTTGTTCTTGCAGAGGTTTAGTTGCCAGCACCCACAAGACAGACCACAACTTTCTGTAAGCAGTCCCTCCAGGGGATCTGACAACTTCTTGTGGTCTTCTGAGGCACCCATGCAGGCAGTGGGTGGTGAAAGCCTTAATTCAATGCCTTCGAGCTGAGAAGCTTCCCATTCTATCATTCTATCAGCTGTGGTCCTTCCGAGCACCTGACTAACACATACGCCAGACTGTGCTGAGCCCTTGAGTTTGAAGACAGTCTATCTGCAGACAGTTCATTACAACATATGAGTACAAGTCACTAACACTACCCTGAAGTAAAATGACCACAACACTGTGATTTCTCCTACAACATTTTCTTTAAGGCATATTCTGTTAAGAACAGGTAAACGATTACATTAAAATGTAAGACACATTCAAAATTAAGTTAAAATGTCATACTAACAAAACATTTACCTTCATTTTGAAGAGAAAGGCAAAGACTGTGTGCTTTGATTTACATCTTTTATCTTAATCTAAGTACTCAAACATGGCATTACATTTCTACTTTATCTCTCCCTCTTGAATTTCTTATTTTATCTTAGAGCATATGCTCATCCAGGCAGCACCCTCCCCCAATCACTCACCTTCCTCATCTATCCATTTCATTGTGAATGGCTGCTCATTGTCGAAAGAGCACATGTCTCGAACCTCACTGCAAAGTCCCTCAAAGGAGATGGAAGGCTCAAAGTGTGTTATCATAATGTCCCTGAAAAAGAAAGTTTCATGTTTGAAAACTTTTATGTTTAAAGCCATATTGATCTACATGAGACTGAATACCTGCTGGCACACTAGTTATTCTGTGTGTAGACGAAAAATTAAAACATTAGTGAAATAAAATTACGCTATGAAAAACAATGGATTTATGAGAAGCCTTAACTCACTAGGAAAGCCACCCTCAAGGCTCTACCCTTTCGGAAGGCCTTCCAACCCTAAACCATGCTCTAAACATTTGCTTTGGATTCATCCAAAATCTGTTTCATCCCCAGATTTCCCTGCCCCAGAGAGTCTGCCATTCATCTAAGAGACTGTCTTTTGTTACCCTGGCTCTGTCCATCCATTCTTTGTATAGCATGATTTTTACATCTCTTACCTCACTTCCAGTTTTCCTCCCAAAGACCTTGTTTTCCAAAAACAGCTTTAAAGTAACTTCCTTCCCAATCACAGGAATATATATTTATTAATGAAAGTATTAACAAATAATATAAAATAGTAAATAACATATTAATGCATTAATATACTACTAGCACTAGATGAACAATTTACATACGGTAAGCAGCTATTCACAGTAACTTTAACAGTTGTTAAGTGTTTTCTAGTAGAGGCCTGGTGTGCCCTTAGGCAGCCCTGGAGAGGCTTTCAAACCTCTGACCTGTACACAGCAGCCTTTTACACAGCACTCTGTGCTGAGCTAGCTTTAAGGTTTTCATAAAATTAACACAGTCCATGCCCTTCCCGCTGTAAACACAAGTGCTTTTTCTATCAGGAAGAGTCAAAGTTAATGTCCCTAGACAGGGGGGACAGTTAGCTTTATTGTGAATGTGATGCAATCCAGAATGACCTGAGAAGAGTGGCATGAGGACCAGTCTAGTGTAGGCTGGTCTGCGGCCATGCCTGTGAGGGATTTTCATGATGGAATTAACTGGGAACATGAAGCAGTGAGCTGGAATAAGCCCTTTCTCCTCTAGGTTGCTTTATTGGGGTGTTTTATCACAGCAACTGGAGAGAAAACTAGGACATCAGGGTCTATAGGCCTCACATGAGCTGTCCTGGGCTACTTCCCTGACCTATTTCATTTCTTCAATGGGCAAGATAAGCATGTTTTTTTAAATCTATCCTCTGTCACAACTGGAATACAATTAAACTTGGTGACTGTGAATGCAGAGATATTTTCTTCAATATATTCCCCAAGGGCAATGCATTTCCTAGGACAGGATGAATAACTGCCAAAACGTAACTCTGACCTCAAAATAGGGAAGAGAGAGATGATTCTGGAGCCAATTATGAACACCATGACCAGGGGACACAGATTAGAGTTACCTCAAATTCCATGTTCCAACATAGGAACATTTTCATAACACTCTCACAATGACAGAACAAAGGAACTCTTAAATCAAATGCACTTTTCAAGAACACTAGTGGAACATCAGAGAGGTGGCTTCCAGCAAAGTGGGACCATTTCTGCTATCAGCCTCAGATACTAGCTGGTGACATTCTTAGCTTTCTGGATGATGAACTTTAGTGGTCAATCAATACGTTCTAAAACATTTCATTTGTTAGACAAACACAATGATGCTAGGTCAGACACAGAGATGGGCAAGGGTGGCAATTTGGGGAACTAAACCAACTCAAGATTAGGTTCTGGACCTGGAACATCACAAGCTCTCAAGTCACTGAAGTTCTCCTCATGTTGCGAACAAAAAATTAGTTTTCTCCAGGGAGTCTCATTGGGAAACTACTCCTAAGGGCAGAGCCCATACCCAACAGTAGATGGTGAGCACAAAACTGACAGAAAGGCACTCTGGAGGTTTTCAGTCAGGGCAGTTTTCTTTAAACTTACAGGTCCTTTGTGTATATATTATGGCTTCTGGTTTGGGGTCTTTATGAGATTCCTGTGTCTGCCAACATGTGTGTCTCTGCATCTATGCATTTCCTGTGCTTTTTCTTTGATTCTTTTTCATATTTGTTTTGTCATATTTAATTACTTGTTTATATAACTGTATTTTATCATTATTCTTTAGATGCCTTTCTTTTTTTTTTTTTTTGATTTTTCAAGACAGGATTCTAAAATTCTGTGAGTCTCTGTCAGTCCTGTTATGTCTAGAAGACATGATACCTTAGATTCATCCACTACCTCTGGCTCTTTCAACCTTTCTGCCTTCTTCCACACAGGTTATCCCTGAGCCTTGAAGGAAGGGATTTGATGGAGACGTCCCGGTTTGGCAACTGAGTGTTCCAAAGTCATCTCCCCTCTGCATTTTGACACAAAGCATTCTCGGTGATATTCCTCTGGCCTCTTTCTCCTCCCTTCCTCTGAATCTTAGTCCACACTATGCTTTACTCAGCGTCTCTACATGCATAGCTTCTGTGGTAACAACTGTGATTTCAGGACTCTAGATCCTCTTCTAACTTCTTTTTTCAACTTGACCATTCCGCACCAATACACCAACTACTACAGAGACTCATTTACTCACAACCCCACATACTTCAGATCTTGATTACACAGTCTAATCCAAACAGCCCCTCAATTTAAGGCTCAGTTTACACAGAAAGAGAAGCACTATCAACATCACATTCTATTTAATTTGCCAACCACACAGTGTCTTATAATTGTAAATGTCTAATTTTTTTTGTTTGTTTTTTGAGACAGGGTTTCCCTGTATTGCTTTGGAGCCTGTCCTGGAACTTTCTCTGTAGACCAGGCTGGCCTCGAACTCACAGAGATTCACCTGCCTCTGCCTCCTGAGTGCTGGGATTAAAGGAGTGCACCACCATCACCCGGTCATGTCTTACATTCTTTTTACTTAATTCCTATATTGATAACACATCTACAACTAAGTAATAAATAACTAAAAGCTAATCTTCTTGGATTCATAAATATATTCATATTACTATTTGGGCTTCTGTTTGTTTTTGGAGACAGGTTTCTTTGTGTAACAGTCCTGGCTGTCCTTGAACTCACTCTGAAGACCATGCTGGCCTCAAACTCACAGAGATCTACCTGCCTCTGCCTCCTGAGTGCTGGGATTAAAGGTTTGTGCCACCACCATCCCGCTTCATATTACTATTAATACAACAGGGGCTCAAGTATGTTGTACTGTAGGAATGTAGAAAACGAAAAAAGTTTCTACAGGAAATCATTTTTCATCAAATACACTTTTGACAAAGGAATACACATTTTTTTTATTATAAACATTCACAGAACACTTTGTCTGGTTTATGATAGGATCTCACAATGTGGCCCTGGCAGGCCTAGAACTAGACTGGCCTCAAACTCACAGAGATATGCCTGCCTCTGCCTCCTGGATGCTAGGATTAAAGGTATGCGCCACCTCATCAGGCTTTATAGGACAATATGCACATATGTGTTTAAACAGTCTTATCTTATTTAAACTTTATAACAATCAATCTAAACATCAGTCTCACCTGACAGATTTTAAAAGGCAGAACACAGGGTCATGACAGTTTATGACAGTAGCAAAAGGACTCAATTTCAAATCCTAATGTGCAGGATACTGTAACTGACACTGTCCCCTGAGCTGCATTTCTCAGCTATCACACACATCCCCACCAGTAATGGAGATGTGATGATTTCTGCCGCTGCAGCCACCACAGATCATCTCTGTTATCAGCCCCAAGGATCTGACTCCATACCTACAGACACAACGCCCCCCCACTCCCTAACAACCTTATGGAATATGAAGACCCTAGATGTGCCAACTCATCCTGTAAAGGTCCAGGATGCGGAGATTTCAATTTCAACTTCAGCACAGCTCGATTATTTTTTCCTACCTATACTCTGGCTTGACTGTATGTCCTTCCAAAACTCATGGTGTAACCTAATCTCCACTGTGGTGGCAGGAAGAAGAGGGGTCATGCTGGGCATGGTGGCACATGCCTCTAATCTCACTAAGGAAGTACAGGCAGTTGACTCTCTTTGAGTTCTAGGTCAGCTGGTCTGCACAGTGAGTTCCAAGCTATACAGTGAGACCACGTCAAAAAAAAAAAAAAAAAAAAAAGAAAAGAAAAAAGAAAAAAAAAAGGAAGAAAGAAAAAAGAATGAAGAGAAAAAGGAAAAGTGGTTAAGTGATGTGGGTTTCATGGGTCCTTTTTTGCACTCTATTCTTTCCACCAACATGAGGGTGTTGCCTTCTTTGGAGAAGAGAGTCAAATGGAGTCATCCTGGATGGAGAAATCAGACCTTTAATTCGATACCACGTCTGTTTGTGCCGTACTTTCCACCATCTAGACTGAGACATTACGGTTCTTTGTAGATTATGCTATCTATAATATTGTTACAGAAGCACAAACAGATTTGAAGAGCCTTGTTCCTTCTTCCTTCTCTCCCATAACTGTTATTCCTGAATAAACCTCACCTGTGCTCATACCCTGAACTATGGCTTTCCACAGCAGATGCCAGACAATGTATGTCTTGGTTCTTTCAGTTTGACTTAATAAATTCCACACATGAGATAGCTCACACAACAGGAATGAATTTATGTCCATCTGTCCATCCTGGAGACAGAAGTCCAACATGAAGGTACCATAGGGTTACTGCCTGTTCAGCCATAACTTCTGTTTCAAAAACTTTCAACTTCTAGTTGTGTTCTCAAAACAAGGGCTAGTCTAGGGTCACTTCACAAGGATACTAATTCCATTCACCAGAGGCAATGTAACTCCCAGTAGATCCCCATCTTCTAATACCTTTTGAGTCAAATCCAATAGATGAATTTGGGGGGTGGAGGAGTGGGGACCACAAATACTCAAACCATTGCAGCATATTACCTTAAAAACTCCACCAAGGCTGGGCAGTGGTAGCACATGCCTTTAATCCCAGCACTCAGGAGGCAGAGGCAAGTGGATCTCTGAGTTTGAGACCAGTCTGGCTAGTTCCAGGACAGCCTCCAAAGCCACAGAGAAACCCTGCCTCAAAAAACCAAAAAAAAAAAAAAAAAAAAGAAAGAAAGAAAGAAAAAAAAATCAACCAAA